ACTAAGGCCCTATGTATAGTTACCAGTACTACATAAGATATAAAATCATAAGTACAACTGGAACTCATTAATAACCATGAGTAAACCACACTAAAACCTTCTCTAAAGATATCTATTTGTTTTCATCCATTTAAAATGGGAACTAATTTCTCTTATTGACTGTGGGTAGGGATACAGTAGTAATTGAATGAATGTAGGATATCACTGATGTTAACCTCATGAACTAGCAATCAGTATTCCACTTCTATTTAGTATTTATGTGAAAAATAAAAATTTCATAACAAATTAAGAGACTAAGAATATTTAATACACTGTATCATTATATTCGTATTATAGGGACATATGCAGATTTATAACAGCACAATTTATAATAGCCAGATGTGGTGGCACACATCTATACCAGCCATGAATTCAAGGCCAACATGAACTACATTGTGAGATCCATGCTCAAAAAAAAAAAAAAAAGGAAAAAGAAAAAAGAAATTATGAGCTAATTTTTTTAAAAGGTAATTCTTTTTTAAAAAAAAGTTAATTCTTGAAAGCACCATGTATGTCCATCAACAAAGAATGAATAAAAAATATGGCTTTTCATTTGAGATGGTTTCACTTATAATAGTTCATATCGGCCTTGAACTTACTATGTAGTCCAGGCTGAACTCATAGCAATCCTCATCAATCAGGCTCTCCAGTGCTGGAATTACAGACCTAAACCCACTGTATCTGGTGTATTAGCTGCGTTGAACTCTGATTAAGAAGTCAAAGTAGGAGTCAGTCATAACAAACATAGGAATCATATACATAACAAATACATACATAACAAAGTAGGAGTCAGTCATAACAAACAGCAAAACCTTAACTATCCAAGCAAGAGGAGTAGAACAAAATAAGCCAATTTTATAGAGACCCAATATAAGGGATTAGAAGCTTGAAAATAGGGTCACCTAGTGTATTTGAACAATGAATAATTCCACCTGACCATAAATATGCTTATTTCCTAAAGGTACAATTAGATATTATTTCTTATGAGTTTGCTCTTGTACGTTACGTGTGTATAACCACACTATGAACTAGCAACCCTTCTTTTGGTCCAGTGACATTATATAAATAGTTGTTCATACCCACATAGATAAATATTAGTTTTCAAATGCATATTGCTTAGGCAAGAATCAGTGAATGTATCTTGTATAATCATCATTTGAACTGGTGATGCTACTAGCCTCATTGACTGGAATATTTATATACCTAGTAATCTGCAGCAATAAAAAATATGATGTTTAAAATACCAACTGTACTTTTCCAGTTTTCTTTTAGCATTTTAGTATTTTGGGGCAGGGGCACAAATAGGTACTATCACTAATTGAATAGCTTTTTGCTATCTTTTTGGCATTAGAACATAGACCTAACAAGTGGTCTGATTTCTTGCTATAGCATAGTTCTTGTTAAAATCCTGAGATTACAGATTTTCCTATATGGAAAGGAAAGAATTAGAACAACAGTAATTAGAATAGTAAGAGGAAAACATGAGACCTGTATGTTGCTAAAAAAAAAAAAAGTTGTAGCTCATAATCTTGGAAAAGTTAACCATCTATTACAATGCCTTCTGTATTTTGGGAAGAATTTTACTGGTTAACATTACCTAAAATTTTCCAGCAAGTGTACAGCTTTACAATTTAGAGAGCCCTTATAAACTGTGAGATATGAACTCAACGTTCAACACCCAGAAGCTTTATTACAATTTACCAAAAGGCTCAAAAAGTATGTGTGTGCGCCCGTGTGCGTGACCCAGGGATTGAACTCTTGACCTTGTGCTTGTCAGGCAGTCACTGTGCTGCTATGTTACATCTCTGGCCTGACTTTCTCTCTTTTTTTTAAAACAAAACAAAAGGCAATCTCACTTTGTAGGTCAGGCTAACTTATTACACAGCCTGACTGGCCTCAAACTAAGTACTTCTCCTCCTATATTTTGGGATTATGGGATATTAGCAAAAGTAGGCTTTCCTGAAGATCAATTCAGCTTCTAGTTCATAAGAAATCTGTTTGCTATTAGTTAGTAGCTGACAATATGTTTTTTTTTTACCTGATGAAAATATGCTCTGAAATAAGGCAAGAAACACTTTATAATAAAAAAGTATTAATAACTGCCTTTATCCTTCTCTCTTTTCCTTCTTTCATTTCTTTCCTTCCTCTCCCCTTCCTTCCTTCTTTCCTTTCTCCTGTACTAATATTGAAGCCAGAACCTTTATATTTCATCCCAAGCCATTTTCAATTTTTTTTTTTCCTAGCACCAGGGATCGAACTCACAACCTTGCACTTGCCAGACAGGCCCTTATGCCACTGAACTAAATGCCCGGCTGCCTGTTTTCAATTTTAAGACAGGGTCTTAGTAAATTCCACAAGCTAGATTCAATTTGAAATCCTTTTGCCTCAACCTTAGAAGATGCTGGGATTATACACGTACATCACCAAGTCTGACACAGATTGTTTTTTGCTGTTTTTGTTTTTGTTTTGTTTTCTGAAACAGGTTCTCACTATGTAGTCTAGGTTGGTCTTGAATTTATTGTGTATCTCAGGCTGGCCTCAAACTCATGACAATCTTCCTCTCTCAGCCTTTCTTGTGCTGGGATTATAGGTATGCACTATCATACCTAGCTGGTTTCTTCATTAGTTTTGAGAATTCTTACTTAGACCAATTGTATGATTAGATTTCTAGTAATTTTATTCTATTTATAGAATAACATGGGTTGAGGATATAGTTCAGTTGCATGCCTGGCAAGCATGAAGTCCTGAATTTGATTTCTGGTATCAAATCAAACAAAACAAAGCAAAAGCAAAACACTAAGAATAATGTAACAAATCAACATAAATAAAACTAAATGATGGCTTAGATTTATCACAGTTTATTCCTTTTAATTATTGTTTTACCATAAAATATCTTTAAAATATTTTGAAAATGCATTATGTGTAATTGGTATAAAAGCTAATAAAAATTTCTAAATTGCTAGACATGCAGAGTGAGTACAACTAATCAACTTGTGAATTGTGAGCAACTTACAATGCTTTTGTTTTTCTGAAATGTAACTATTACCTCTGATATTTGCATTCTTAATCTACTATCATGTCCGTTAGATCATTTTTACAATTTACTATACATTTTTTTAAAAACTAACATACTAACAGATGCTCCTTTTGGTCCAAATTTTGAGAAATTCGGATCAATGCAATTAAATACTATGACAACTTACATTCTTAACAGCTGTGTGGTTTTGTTTCCCACAAACTAGACTGATCTGCTTAAATAATTTTACTGCTATTTAGAGATATCAAATGTCAAGACATCACATTGGTCACATGGCTACAAAGTTACACACCTGAGGCTCCTTATTCAGAGCCACTCATAGGTAATGGGAAGTTCCCATTATTTAAAGCTCCTTGTTCAGAACTACTTATAGGTAGAAGTTCCCTGCTAACCATTTTTGTTGTTGTTGCTGTTTTGTTTTTTCCTTTTTATCGGTACCGGGAATCAAACTCATGACTGCCTGCTTGAAAGGCAGGCACTTATGCCGCTGAGCTAAATCCCCAGCCTCCCTCCTAAGCATTTTTTTCATCGCTAACATGGAACTGGGTACCTACCCCAGTCAGAGTTAAATGAAAGGGAAACACCGCCCTGTCCCCACCATACTGCTCAAGCTCCTGTGGCTGGGAAGGGATACTCTACTTCACGTTTAAATCTGTCGTTAAATGCTTTGTACATGCGGAGTGAGAATTCTTACTTAGACCAATTGTATGATTAGATTTGGGATAAGGGATGTTCAGATCCTGAACAATTTCTCTAATTGTCCATCGCTTATTTCATTGAATCATTTCACTTACTCTTTCAACATTCTGGGGGGTTTTTGATGTTGAAGAACGTCCAGATCTCTTCCCGTTAACAGATTCCCAATCCTTATAAAATTGCGTAAACAACTCGTAAATTGTCTTTCTGATCACTGTGATATCTCCCTACACTAATTTTAACATTTCGCGCATCTTTTTAGTGCTTTTTTTGCAGTTCAAAACAAAATTTCATATTAATATGAACAATGGTTCATATTCCACCATCTATGCCACTTTAAAAACATCATCTCTCAATCTGAGAGGTCAGACTTCCCCCAAGTAAGTTATCCCTGCCTTTTTGTTGGATGGTCAAATGCCATTCAATAATATTTATTGATTTTTTTAAAATCACGTCAAGTATAGTTCAGAATATCTCGCCTCGTTAGAGGCACTGTCCTGTTAAAACTGTAGTGACAGTATCAGATGAAATACCAGCAGAACAGCACCTCAGCTTTAACGACTTGTATTGGCAGTGCTCAACCTATTCCTGGCTGTTGACCTCCGCATGTGCTCAAGACAAAATCCGAGGGACCCAGATCTGCTCTGGTCCAGTTCTGGTCCTCTTGGAACCCACTAAAATATAGCGGTGGGTCTCCCCTGTGGAAGCGAAGCGAAAACTTGACTCAGTGAGCCATAGGCCTAGGGGAACTTCGGGGGACCTGCACACGTGCCACTTGTAACTCGTGCAGCCCGGGAACTAGTTTGGTGCTAGCCACCCTGGAATCTGAGAACTGCTTGAGTCTTCTGTTCTGGAGCCCAGGAGCACCAGAGGTCCAAGCACGCAAAGCTTGAGGGGACAGTAATTTGCTATTTGAACCAACATGTAAGAATTTTAATACATACTTTCATTTGTAAGAGGAATGTACCTTTGGTAAATTCCAACAACTCATCTGAAAAGTTCCAAAATGATTTGAGGTCAAGAAAAAGACATAATCCAGATTATCTGGAATCCCAGAACCAGGGAGGCTGAAGCAAGAGGACCACTGTGAGTTTGAGCTAACCTAATTTACATAAGCAAGTTCAAAGTCAGTCTGCACCACATCATGAGAACTTGCCTCAAAATAACAAAGCAATACAGAACAAAACAAAACACCCAAAACCAAAAATACAAAATGAAACACAGGACATTACCTGACAAAATATAGAATCTTTATTTCCTATATTAGTTATAATTTCATATCCAGAACAAATTATGAGAATTGTGTAGCTGCAACAGAAAGTATCACATTCTACTTTTGCATCAGATGACTCTGATGTTAGTCATCTGCATGATTCCCAGCACTTAGGAGACTGCAGCAGGAAGATCATTAAAAGTTCAAGACTAGCCTTGACTTTAAAATGAACTCAAGGCCAGCCTAAACTGTGTAGCAAGACTCTGTCTCAAAAAGACAAAATACAAAAACAAAACAAAAAAAATCAAAAGATTTTAAGGCTTACTTTCTTAAAAAAAACTAAAAAACAACTCCCTCTAATATGATCCAGAATGATCATACATAAAAGTCTTTACAAGATCCATCTTTCTCAGACCTTCACAACTTTTCAAGCTTCTCTGAGTTTGTAAAACTTTTAATGTTGTCAAGCACAGTGGTATAGGTCTACAGACCTAGCACTCAAAAGCCCGAGACGGATCTGTTTCAGTCTAGTTTTGAGTCCAAGTTCTTGAACTCACTTTATGGCACAAGCTGGTCTGCAATTTATCCAGATACTCCTGCCTTGGACTCCTAGTGATGGTATTACACACATGTGCCATCACATCCTGCTTCAGCAATTATCCTATTATTGGCAAAAAGTAATTGAGTAAGAAAGTTCACAGATCCAAATTTAAACTAAAACTGGACAGAAAAAAAGCAGCCAGGGTTAATATAGTCATAGTAAAATATATTCTCATCGTATCCTTGTTTTTTGTTTTGTCTTTTTTGAGACAGGGTCTCACTATATGGTCCACATTGACTTTAAACTATGTAATCCAGTCTATTTTCTGCTTTTTGAAAAAAATTATGTAGAATTTATTGTTATAACTCTCAACTTACTGCTATTACTACGATTGTATTTGTAGAGCTTTTCATCTGTGTTTATGTTTAGAAAAAGGAATTGTAATAATGACTCTTGTTTATATTAGAACTTGTATTAGAATGGAGCCAGCTACACCACACTCAAAGACACATAACCAGTGAGTACTTTCCTTTATATCTCAATTTCAAACTTACTATTAGAGGTACAATAAGTACAATAATAATTTATGAAGAGATTAATATAAGACTAATTAGACAATCTCCTTTGTGTTCCAATCTTCCCCTCCTGAACATCCTCAATGTCTCTTCTTGTTTGTTCATATTACATCTTACACCCTGCAAAACTTTCCTTTGCCCTCCCCCTTCACTTCTTTCAAGAATTTCTTACACTGGCTCACTTGCGACTTTTTCCAGGGAACTTACTCTGATTTTCCTCCTGACAACTTCATTTTTGCTTCCTCTTCTCCCACCAGCAGTCAACAATGCCCCTAGGTCCAGGCTGTCTGGTTTTGGGCATAAGCTTTAGGTCAGTCTGGTCTGGAAGTCAAGCTAGCATGCCAACTTGGATGGTTAGTCGTGATTTTCTCCCCAACCAGGGATACCTGCTTGGGAGTTTAGGTCTTATGTCCCTCAGAATACCTGGAGTCTCTTGGGACTACTTTGGTGCTTGACCAGGGTTTCAGGGCCCTGACCTTGTTGTTGACTGCACTGGGTGACTGTACTTCAAACTCTGCAAATGCAACAGGAAATGGCCCGAAGTCTATATCCAAGCTTTCTTTGCTCTACTTGACCAATCACAACTGTGCTTTATTAATCAGTTGACACCAGGCATCAGAAAAAAAACTAAAATATCTAGAGTAGGGCCCAAGTACCCACCAGAATAATCCTAGTACCCAGACCTATAAAGTTTTGAATGGGAGAAACAAACAAGAACAAAGGGATAAACTTGCCCACATCAAATAAAAATATCAAATCCTGAGGCCTCCTGGAGCTACTCACAATAAAACCACTCACAAGATCCCCCTGAGGGGCCTTACTTTAAATGTGGAAATGTGAGACACTGGGCCAGAAGCTGCCCCAATCCCCATCTGTCACTGGGCCCCATTCTCCAGTTGCAATAAAAAAGGCCACTGGGCGGTAGTCTGCCTCTCCTCAAAGAAGGACAAACCCTCTGCCCCCAAAACTGACTCACCACAACAAGCTGCTCTAGCTCATCACCTTGCCTATCTCCACCTGTGGGTTGGACAGCTCCTTAACAACAGCCTCTAAGTCCCAATAACTGTACTCCCTCTTGTACAAGATCTGGCCTCTCCCATTTGGTCTCACCATTCCCAATTTCCCTTTCATGAAGTTGCCAAAAACAAAGACATTATCCAAGTCCATGTTCCTTTCTCTTTCACAGACCTCTCTTAAATCAATCACCATTTTGGTTCCTTCCTTTCAGACTCTTACCCCTATATTCAAGAAATTCCAAAACCTAGTCCAGATATATGACCTCACTTGAAACTATGTTACTGTCATCCTAACCTTCACTCTCTCTCCCAAAGAATAAAAACAGGTCTAAGAGACCTCCAAAAAATTAAAACAGGCTCTCAAGCCCCACAACAGAAATTAATTTCTCAGGCCTCTAAGGAATCAAAATAAGACTACCCACCTATGATATATCTCTGATTTATAGTTGCTTGCTTCCACCACTAGAAACCCAAACAAATCCAAGGGAACAAAGGGGTACTGTCCCCTCCAGGACTCTATTTCAGGGCACTGGGCCAATGAGTGCCTTTAGTTCAGATGTTCCTCCAAGCCATGTTGCATGTGTGAGGACCCTCACTGGAAGTCAGATTGTCCTTTGGCAGCTAGGTTTGCTGCAGGAGTTCCTTCTCAGGGTGCTCCACAGACAGTCATGTCCTCTCCAATCTGAGTGGGCCTCAGATGACTAACATGCCCTAACAGTCTTGGATGCCCCTTGGATCATTACAGCTGCCAGACTTTGCATAATTCTCTGGGTGGAAGGTAAGACTGCTTTATTCTTAATTGACATGTAGGCACTCCATTTTACTTCCCCCTCTTTATCAGGACAGCTGTTTTTTTTAACTGGCATCTCTGTTGTGGAAATTGACAGTACCATGTCCAGGCTCCCAAAGACACCGCTCTCACTTCTTTTCACTTTTATGAAATCTCCTGCAAGTCCACACAGACCATTATCTGCCCCAATCTCCCTAGTGTCTTACGAGGTTTAACCAGGAGACCAGGTTTGGGTCTGAGATCTCACTCTACCACCATTCAAATCCAAGTGAACCAGACAACACATTGTGATGTTAAGCACCCCTATAGTAGCCAAGATTTTAGGCAAATCTGCCTGGATACCTTTCTCCAAACTAAAAAAGGACCCTTTAATGAATAGCAACCTCAAATAAGTCTCTGCTTCTCTACTTGGCTCTCCCTAATGTGTCTTCATCTCACCCTCATCCCTGAGAAATAATGCCCTGCTTTATCTGTCGCTTCACCAATGCTCTAAGGCAAGCGCTCACCTGTCTCCTTCAGTCTCATCCTCTAAGCCCTCTTCTTCCCTGGACAAAAACCCTTCTTTTCCATCATCCCCCAGTAGACAGCCATAAACCTATCCTCCCCTGGGTAAAATGTCTTATTTCCCAGGAACTCTTCCTCTTTCAGTCCTTAGATGAAATCCACCTCTTTGCCATTCTTCTAGCTCTTTGCCTTGTGGAGGACCTCTGACTGTTCATGTATCTTCTAGTCCTTAGTCTTTTGGCTACAATTTGATTTACCACTCACCTTGTTTGGGGCCATTCCACCCCCTCATCCAGGATCTTAGATAGATCCATACATTGCCACTTTCCTACCTCCTTGCCTACATACTCTTGGCCCTTCTGTTCACAGCTGCCCTACTAGGTATTGCTTCAGTTGACTGGAGCCTCACAAAAAAGAGCCTTTGGCCATCATCTTCTCTTTGTGACAACCACCCTCATTCTCCTGGGCATGCTCAGGCATTTTCCAGACTGGTACTGAGATGGCTCCTGATTAGATCAAACTCCTATTGCTTTCCTCCAACCTTATCCTAACTAAAGTTCCCCTTCTGATAACCTGATCTTAGATGTCCTCTTCACTTAACCCAGGGATCCTTAAATATCTTTTTAGGACCCTATAACTGGACCATTCTCTACTAAATTAATCCAAGTCTTCCTTGGTTAAAGGCTGTTAGCTTTGTGTCTCTATCTCCACTTCTGCCTAAAAGGCTAACTCTCCCACTCACAACTTGGGCTCTTGCCAAGTCCTCCTGGTAACTTCCTATGATGTTAAAAAAAAATCTGGAAGGCCAAAGCTGCAAACAAAAACCACAGACAAACTGACATAGCTTTTGCCTATGCTTAAACAGTTTTTCCATACCATCTTGTTCTAAGGCCTATAAACTCTAATGTTCAGCTTTTCTTTAAAGTCATACTGTGCATCTCCTGTGAAGGTCCTCTACGAGTCCCCCTGGGATATCCACCTATCTCTAGCTGTAACTTCACTATTACCCTACATTTCCCTCAGTACTATACTACTTTTAACACCCACATCTTCTCTCCAAAGGAGATCGCTCCTAATTTCCCCCTTGGGTTTCAAGCCCTCCCTGAACAGGATGCCTACCATATAACAGGCCGCCCATCATAGATACCTCCCAGCTCCTTGACAAACAGTCATGTCTCTCTAATATCACCTAGCTTCCACTCTTTATTATTGGAAATTGGTACCCACAGACAGAAACACATATCCCAGCTGCCTGTCTCCTTTTTCTGAGCCACTACAACACTAACAAACAGGCACCAAGAGGTTCCATCTACCATAGGTAAACAGGACCAAAGACTCAACTACAGTTCAGAGGGACCAGACTCAGACGAAAAACACCTCCAAAATGCCTCCCTTCACAGGGTCAGCCAAGCCTGTCACTGTGGGGATCTGGAAAAATAGAACCAGTAAATAAGGCGCTGCTCACCTTCTAGAGATGCATAACCATTTCTGTTTAAATACTTCAGGACAGGGTTGGCTCTGCAGAACCTCTGCCTAGATCTTTCTCCTTGCCAACTGGGCTGGGGCCTGCACACTGGTATTCTTAACTCCCAAAATGGATACAGTCAACAAGACAAGAGTGCTAGTCCTACCTATGCCACACAGTGCTCCTGGGTCCCAACCCTCATTCACTTGATAATAGGCTTGATAATAGGAATTTCCACAGGTGTGAAAGCCAGAGTGACGGGACTGGCCCTGTCAGTCAAACCCAACAACAACTCTCAGAAAAATGTCAGAAGGATTCAACAAAATCCTTGACTCTGTCACGGATCTACAAAAGGGCACTTGCATCTTTCTTGGAGAAGAGTATTGTTTCTATGTCAACTGATCAGGCTTCATTCACCAGATAGTCCAAAGTCTGTGAGACCAGGCCACCAGGCTCAAAAAGCAGGAAAAGGGTGAAAGGGAGCAGGCTTCTTCTAGTCTGGGTGATGGTCATGGCTTTTCCCATCCTTGGCCACTTTGCCCCTATCTTGCTTCTGCTGCTGCCCTGTTGGATAGGCGAATAGCATATTTCATCCAAGGACAGGTTTGCTTCATGTGGAACAAGCAGCTCCTCCTGATGACTCAATTTACCCCAAATGCATAAGCGCCACATGGCAATGACTCTCCTCTAGACAGCCATTAACTCCAAGTCATCCATAACATCAGCAGTGCTGCCAAGTATTCTAACCCCAGGTTTGCTTACCTTAGGTTGCCCATGCAGCTTCTACTGTCATGGTCAAAGAAGCCTTGAGAAACAATGACCTTCTCCCTCATGTAGCCTTCAACCTTTCTACCCAATCACCTACTCGGCCTGCCCTCCTTCTATCCCTTAAAACAAAAGGTTGAAATGAGGAGCCATGAACTCCTGGTCACAGGGAGAAGGGAATTAAAGGATGCAACCCAACCATCCCTTCAGATTTTTAGGACAGCACCAACCACAAAGACACTTGGATACTTTCCTGAGAACTGCAGCAACCAGGAGACCTATGGTGTTCCTGTGATTCATAATTCTACCCCTAAATGTATCCTGATGCCTTTCTGAGTGGCTGGTTCTGGTCTACACACCCATTCCCACCACTTTGGTTTTATGGGATATAAGCCCATGACTTCCTCCCTTTGGGGTTATTTTCTGCCCGTTAGATGACCCCTCCCCTCAGCCAAATAAACTCTGTGGCAGAGTGTCTCTATCATCCTTGCATGGGTTATGGTCTCATTAACCTTACAAATACTTTCTTTTTATTTTATTTTATTTTATTTTTTGTGGTACCAGGGATTGAACTTCGAACTCATGACCTCTCTCTTGCAGGCAGGCACTTATGCCACTGAGCTAAATCCCCAGCCCCCACAAATACATTAATAGTGTCTATTTATTTACTTAAATCCAGAATTAATATATCTTCTCTCATACTAATTTCTGTCTTTGTTGGTCGATCTGCCTTAAAAGTTTTGTAGTTATATTAACATATTAGGAAATTTTTTTAATTATTCTGCTTTCAGAATATGAATTTATGCTTATTATTACTTTCTGGGCCTGGAATTTAGCTTGGCGGTACAAGTGCTTGCCTGGCAAGCACCAGGTCTTGAGTTTGATCTCCAGTACTAAAGAAAAAAAAGAAAGAAAGAAAAAGAAACATAGTATCATTATTTCCTAATGGGTCCTCACCATGTTGTTCAGGTTGGCTTGAACTTGCTATCACTGACTAGGAATCAAACTCAGAACACTGCACTTGCCAGGCATGTGATCATGCCACTGAGCTATATCCCTGGCCCACTCGCTTATGTTGAAAGGTAAAAACTGTTCAACCTTTGTAACTCTCCTTATGCATTTTATAAAAGTGCTAGCTTACAAATACTGCACATTTGGCCTTCTTTGTTGGGAGTGATCCTGGCTGTGATTTCTAGTGTAAAATAAAGCTATTCACTGCCTCCAGCTTTGTTCAGGTGTCATTCCTTTTACAGACTCAATTTTGTCACAGAAGTGTAGCCCAGGCTGTTCTCAAACTCATGACTACTCCCTCCTTCCTCAGCTTCATGAGTGCTGCAACAACAGGAATATGCTACCACACTAGGCTCTTCTCTTGCTTTTACTTTGATCATTTTGTGTCTTTATGTAGAATCTTCAATTAATGTTTTATAACTTTTCTTTCTTTAGTACTGAAGGCTACAATACTACTGAGCTGCATTTACAGCCTTTTTTTTTTCCGTCCTTTTTATTTTTGCGATGAAATCTCTCTTAATTACTAAGGCTGCTCTTGAATTTAATATTATCTTCCTGATTAATCGCCCAAGTAGCTAGTGTTACAGGGATGTATTACCTTGCCAACAAATTGCTAAGTACTCTTTTAGTTTTACTTACTAGATTTGACATTGTATTTTTTCATTAAGGTTAAAATACTTCTGCTATTGGGGCTGGAGGTTTAGCTCAGCGGCATAAGCGCCTTCCTTGTAAGCACGAATCGTGAGTTCGATCCCTGGTACTGATAAAAAGGAAAAAGACAAAAAAAAAAAAAAAAAAAAAAAAAAAAGAAAGAAAGAAAATACTTCTGCTATCATTTAGCCCTTGATTTATAATTCCTCCACATACAGTTTATAAATACTTAGAATTTTTTTGATTGCATTTGCTAGTGGTTTTTAATTCAATTGTTTTGCAGAAAATAGTTTCAATTATTTCAATTATCTTCATTCCATTGGCATTTCTTAGTTAAGATGCATTTCTGTTGCATGTTAGTAGTGATTAACTGTCTTTCATTATGATATCTACTTTGTCCTGTACTTTCTTGGTAGTGAATCATGTAATATCTATTTTATTTCTCATTATTTTCATTTGATATTAGGAATTCCAAATATAAAATCACATTTCATATTTCATATTATGCTTCTTTCCCATCCATTTATTTATTATTTTTACTTTTTTTTTTTGGTACCAGGAATTGAACTTATCACCTCATTTTTGCCAGGTTATGCCACTGAGCTGTATCTCTAGTCCCTTACTTACTTTTATAAAGATTATTTATCTTATTCATTAGGAATTTTTACTAAGGGTTGACAGATGGTCTAAGAAGTTTATAATTTAGAGCTGGTTTCTCTGTCTGCTTTGGCCTTGGAGATGAGTCTGCCTCAAGGCCTGGAGCTCCTCCCCGCCACACTGTAGCGAGCTCCGCAGAGCTCAGCACTCAGCCCATGGAGCTTGTACCGCCAACCTCGAACCCGCAGCCTCTTCCGATGGCCTACGAGGAGACCTATCCGCGGGACGCAGAGGGCTCAGAAGTGCTGGTCACAGACTTCAGCAACCTGACTCTCAATCCTGTTGCTCCATTGGAGGTGTCGCCACCACAACCTGACCAGAGCGAGGACAGAGAAGACTGGCACGACCGCGGGCGCCAGGAACCGAACCTGGGGCCAGTGCCTCCCCTCTTGGGCAGGCGCAGTGTGCTCACCGTGCAGTCGGAGCTGCGCAGGGACCTGCTGATACGGAGACTACTCAAGGCCGACCCCTGGCTATTCCTCAGAGGAATAGTGAGAAACAAGAGTCCGAAGGGTGTCAAGGATAAACCAAGAAGCACGCCTTTCAAGTGCTCGTGCAGTTTTTGTGTCACTGCAGAATATAGTTTCAATGGGACCCGAGAACGCTAGAATAGGGAGTAGAACATAGGGTTAGTGGAGGCTTGAGTCTTAGATAATCTATGTAGTTCAAATGAAGTTCGTCGATACACTTTGCGTTTTGATTTGATCCAGAAGGCTCCAGTAGGTCTCAAATCTTCTCTATTTTAAAAGCTTAAAGGCCAAGCATAAATAGATTTTCTGATTCTTAGGAATCTGAGTTCCAATAAAAGGAAATTTTGATGTACTGTTTGTTGTCAGATCTTATTAAAATTGTTTTTAAAAAAGTTTATAATTTAGGCATGATACAGTGATACATACTTGTTAGCACTCAGGAGTCTGAGGTAGGATCATTGTGAGTTTGAAGTCAGCATGGGCTGAACAGAAAGTTCAAGTACAGACTGTACTAAGTAAGCTCCCATTTCATTAAAAAAAAAAAAAGTGCAAGGGGTTGGGGGGTGAGTTCAGTGGCATAAGCACTTGCCTGGCAAGTGCAAGGTTGTGAGTTGGATCCTGGTACCAAAAAATTAAAAAATTTTAAAAGTTTAAACTTTAAAAATAGATACTTTTATAGCTATTTTAGGTTCAAAATAAAAACTGAATAGCAGGTGGTGAGTTCTTGGTCATATTTTCCTCATATTAATGGGTAACATCCTCCATTACTATCATCTCACACAATGTAACTTTTTTATAATCAGTAAACCTGATCTATAACCCATGTTTACAGACTTTTTAGTGCTATTAATTTTATATAGAAGGGTTTTTTTGTGGTTGTTTGTTCATTTGTTTTGGTACTATAGATTGCTGCTAGAGTCTTCTATATTCTAAGCATGTGGTTTATCATTGAGTTTCACCCCAGTTTCCATTCTATGAGTTCTGATGGGCAATATAGTTAAAATGGCATCAACTATATTGAACAGTTTCATTCCCCTAAAAATTATCTATGCTGTACATATTTCATACTGTCCTTCAACACCTGGCAACTTCTAGTTACTTATGCTGTCTTCAAAATTTTAGTACATATACTGCTGAAGTGAGCACTGTCTTCAAATTTTGACTTTGCCACAATATCACGTAGTCACAATCACATATTGCTTTTTTCAGTGCTGATAATGGAACACAGAGCTTCATGTATACTAGTGAGCTCTGTATCACTATCACCCCAGTCTAAGAGAGACTTCTTTAACCTAGCTTTTAATTTCTTCTTTTTTTCTAGTTTCATTTTTTCAGTGTTCAACAGTATTCCATTGTGTTTGCATGTACCACTGTTTAGTCATTTGGCTGACTTTTTGTGGGGTGGGGTACTGGGAATCAAACTCACGATCTTGCGTTTGCCAGAAAGGTATTTATACTGCTACACTACCCTGCCCTTAGCTGACATTTTTGTTGTTTCAAAATTTGACAAAAATTATGGAGACAACTACTGTAAACATGCACATGTAGGATTTATATTGACATTGATATTTTACTTTGGGTAATTAGATTATAACTGAGGTAATACACAGTAATACAGCAATGCTTCAGTTGTCAAGTGGCTCCAAGCTCAAATTTTCCATAACTCAGTTAGCAAATTTGGAAAAAAAAATCTGCTTAGTGTTTGTAATATTGACAGTCAATTGAAAATCTAATGTGAGAAAGGAGAAACACTTTTCTATATACTACCCACAATGACACAAGCTCTTCTAAGCAGGGTTCACCTCTCATTATCACATTTAGCTATAAGCACTTTAGTGATCTAGTCCACTAATGAATATCATAACATATGATCTAGTCATCTCCCCAAAGCCCCACATATGTCCACATGAGGCTCTGGTGGGACATCTAGATGTAAACATTAACATTAAGTAATGGTAAAGACATGAGGCAATGAAGTCTTAAACAGACTACAGTCTGTCACAACAGCTTAATTTAGAAGTTCAATTCACAGTCAAGCAAGGCCTTTAACACTAGGTTGAAAGTAATAAAACGAAGCTTAATAAGTCAATTGATGCATGCACAATTTCACATAAAAGTTGTATGACTAGGGTGGAAGAGCTTTACGCCTGAAATTCAAATACTAAGGAAGAGTCCATCATAAGGATTATATCTGGAAAGGGCCCAGGCTGAGTATCCTCTCCACAGCTGAGATTCCAACATCCCCTTACCAGTGAGGTTCTTAAGTAGAACAGAAGACCACAAGCAGTTTGTAGCCCCCAAGAACTGACTATATGCATAACCAGAAGCAGATTGTAACCCCCAAGAACTGCATAAGGGAAAATCATGTGTGTTTTCTGAATAGTTAGAAAGACACTATCTAGCCAGGGATGATGCCACACACCTGTAATCCCAGCATTCAAGAGGCTGAGGCAGGGGATTTTATTTGAGTTCAAGTGCAGCCTAGGCAACACAGTGAATTCCAAGAACTTGAACTACAAAGTTTGTTTTTGTTTAAAAAAACAAAAAGGTGGGGGGGGGAGTGATGATAAAGGTGTATAATTGTTTGGAGCTGAGCAGGTTCAGTAGAAGTTCCTCTTCGTATCAAGATGTCCAGCCAAAGCAACCCAACACCAATTTGTCCTTTTCTTCAAAACAGGGCAACAAAAGACCAGGAATAAAGCTCAGTGGCGTAAGTGCCTGCCTGGCAAAGTGCAAGGTCACAAATTCAATCCCTAGTACTCTCCCCCACAAAAAAAACGCCACACAAGGGCACTATTACTAACAGGAAAATTTTTCTATATCTAATTATAATCCTTAGGTAACCAGAATCCTCACAACTACTAAGTAAAAAAAAATAAAGAACTGGTAGAATTCACAAAACAGAGGTCATGAGGACACCCAAATTCTATTTTATGATGTTCCCAAGGGAAAATGCACATATCTAATAAAAATCATACAAGAGTAATTCATAAAAGACACAAATTTAAAACAAACAGGTGTTCATCGCACAGTTATTCCTTAAAAGTTACAAGCTGGACATGATCATGTAGACTTACAATCCCAACATTCAGCAGGTTGAACATGGGGATCACTACTTCAAACCTGGGTTATAAGGAAAAGATCCTGATTTAAAAACAGAAGCAAGTAGGGTGTGGTGACAACACTAAAGAGGCTAGGATCATTGCAAATTTTAGACCAGCCTGGGGTACTCAGTGAGCTCAGGGCCAGCCTGAACTGCATTGTAAGATCCTGTCTCAGAAAGACAATAAACAAACAAACCACCAAATAAATAACAGAAGTAAAAGCAAAAACTGGCAAAGATTTCATTTACAAAAAGCTAGAGCACGAGCAAAAAGCTATCCTATGCTGTTAAAAAATAAGATTCAGAGACCAAAGTGGCAAAACAGTAAGCAGTAGAGACAATAGCCTCTCTGGGAGTCATGATTCACACAATGGAAAACAGCATTATAAGAAAGACAAGGAGAAAAGTGGGTCCACTGGGCCCATGAAGAATTTAAAGTGTGAACTGACCAAGTGGAGAACAAAGTGGAGAAACTCCAGTGAAGGAGGAAGTAGCCTGCAGTACCTCCTTCCTGAAATCAGACTCACTATGCAAGAGGAGCGGTTCAAATCTAAGGACTCAAAGTAAGAATGATGGCTGGCACCTGAGAGTCCTCTACAGAGTTGGTAGTGGAGGGGAGCAGAAGATGTGAGGGACTTCACTGGCTGGTGCTATTTGTCTTGGACTGACATTTGCTAAGGGTCACAGAAAATAACATGTCACAGTGCTAAAGAACCAGGACTAGGTCAACCAAGCAACAATTTCTCATCTTCAAAAAACTAAAGAGTTAAGATCTTCCAACAGACTCAAACCCAAAAACCAGCTACCCCTCGAAGATCCCTTAGAAAAGTAGTTATCACCTAAGGATCCTAAATACTAGCAATAAAGCAACTACCATATGCAATTTGCAACATCACCCTAGGAATTAAAACTAGAAAAAGAAATGAGAAGACAATCAAGATACACCTCCCACCCCAACATCCACTTCGCCAAAGGCAAACCCTGGGGGAAATGAGGTGGGACAATCTGAAAGCACCCCACCTGAAGTGGAAACAACAAAGCAATTGAATGAGGCTCTGGAAAAAATGAATTCAGAAATAATCTCTCGGATAACTACAGAGAATACCAAAATACACACCATGCTTAGCCATGTTAGAGCAGCCACAAATAAATAGATGAGCTTAAGAAAATTATGGAAGCTCAGCATATGAAAGAAATGAACCCATAACACAGATTTGTTCAAGCAGATATCCAGGAAAATAAAAATTCCTTTAAGTCTTCAAAGCAGATTAAGTCAATGTGAGAACAAGATCTCAGATACTGAAGGCAGGTTTACAGTTAGGAACCAGAAAAAAAAAATAACTTCACAAAACAAGGGACCATGAGAAATCAATCCAGTAGCTGCTAGATGAGAAAAAAAAAATAATAACTTATGATTAAACAGAGTCATTGAACATGCAGGGGGTATCATAAATGATATTTAAAAAACATTCAGACATGATGGCAAAAAACTTTTCTGGTATAGAAAAAAACAAGGTAAGCGAGACATATAAAACTCTAATTAGTCATGATCAAAAAATTCTATAGCCAGGTAAGTACATGAAAGTCAACACAAGATATTCAACACAAGAACAAGATCTTTAAGGTTGTTTGAGAAAAGAAACAAATCACTTGTAAATGAAAGTATATCAGAATCACAGCTGACCTCTCAGTACAAAATCTCAAGTTAAGAAGCTCTAATGGAAAAGAATTTTGAACCCAGATGGATGTACTCCCCAAAACTATCTTTCCAAACTGCTGGAGAAATAACTATTTTCATGACAAGGAACACCTGGGGAAATTTATAACCACCAAATCAGCATCCTAAAATTCCGAAGGACATTCTAGGAAGAGATAATAAGGACTATATCCCCATGTGAACCCCAAAAGAACAGTCCACCAGGGAAGGCAAACAACTAGAGGGAAAAAAAGGAGGTGGCAGAGCCAGCAACAGGAAAATAACATGAAAAGGATAAGTCAATACATATCAGTTATAATGATCAGTGTTAAAGGTCTCAATTCACCAATCAGAAGACATAAACTTACAGAGTGATTTAAGAAGCAAGATCCAACAATACACTGTAAACAGGAAACATTTAATTAAAAAAAGAAATTAATAGACTGAAAATCAAAGGATGGAAAACAATATTCCATGCAACAGGAACCCAGAAAAAAGCAGGGGTAGCTATTCTACTTACAGACAAGTCTAACCCTAAGCAGACAGTGATTCAGAGATATAAAGAAGTTCACTGTGTCCTTGGAAAAGGAACAATCCAAGGAAGAGGTTATAATTATAACGATATATGTGAAAAATACCAGTGACCAACCATATTTAAAAAAATACAAATATACATGAAAAACCAGTAAGGTCTAACACAATTGTATTGGGAGATCTCACAACCTCACTGTCACAAAAAGATAGATCACACAAAAAATTAATAATAAAATATTACAATTGAATCAAACTTTAGAACAAACAGACTTAATAGATGTCTATAGTGTTTTACCCCACAACATTAGAATACACACTCTTCTCAGTTGCACACAGGATATTCTCAAAAACAGACTACATACTGGCCAATAGATCATACTTAGGTAAATGCAAAGGAATTCAAGTTATCCCATGCATGCGATCAGAACTCAGTGCCATAAAATTGGAAATTCATGGCAAAAGAAACTCCAAGAACTTGGTAAACACATGTAAATTAAATAGTACTGTACTGAACAATAAATGAATCATAGATGAAATTAGACAATTTTTACAGTTAAATGATGAAAACAGTACAACACACTGGGTCTTATGGGGCACAATGAAAGCAGTCTTTAAAGAAAATTTCATAGCAGTAAATACTCATATAAGGAAAAGAGAAAGTACATATAAGCTTAATGGTGAATCTTAAATTTCTAGAAAAACAGCAGGCTAACCCAAAAGCTCATAGGAGAGAGGAAATTATAAAGATCTAAGAAGAAATTAACACACCGGACATTTTAAAAAAACAATACAAAGAATCAATGAATCAAAGAGTTGGTTCTGACCAAGGATGGTGGCTCACACTTGTAATTCTAGCACTTGGGAGGCTGAGGCAGGAGAATCATTGCAAATTCAAGACCAGCTTGGACTACAAAGTGAGCCCAAGACCAGACTGAATGCATAGCGAGACCCTGTCTCAAAAGACTAAAAAAAAAAAGTCTTGAATTTCTTTACAATTTCTTTACAATTTAGTGCATTTAAAACGTATAACTGTATATATTACTTATAAAAATTCAATCAGATTGTGCCACTCTGTCTTTTTTCAGCGCTGACAATGAAACAGAGCCCATGTATATTAGTGAGACCTATATCACACATCCAAGAGAGAGTGCTTTAACTTAGTAATAAGCTCTTAATTTATCTTTTTAATAGTTTCATATTTTCAGTGTTCAATAGTATTCCATTGTTTACACGTACCACTGTTTAGCCATCTAACTGACTTTTTTTGTGGTGGGGATCAAGACAGCCTGAACTGTCTCAAAAAGACAAAAGGAAAAAAAAAAGAGTTGGTTCTTTGAAAGGTTAGATAAACTTGACAATCCTTTAGCTAATCTTTTTTGTTTTTTCCACTGGGGATCGAATTCACAACCTCAAGCTTGCCAGGCAGGTGCTTATGCTGTTAAACTAAATCCTAGCCAATCTTATAAAAAAGAGGAAATAAAAGACTTAAATCCATGCAATTAATTAGGAATAAGAGGGTGAAATCACAACAGATACTGCAGAAATTTAGAAGAGCATCTATTCCTACTTTGTATTTTTAAAAAATGGACAATACAGAAGAAAATAATACATTTAAACAGACATGAATTACCAAAGCTGAATGAAGATATAAAAATCCTAAATAAACTAGTATGAATCAATAAGATCAAAGAAGTAATTAGAAACCTATCAACAAAGAAAAGCCCAGGCCCTGACAGATTCTATGAGAAATTTAGAGAAGACTTAATACCACTACTTCTCAAACTCTTTAACAAACTCTTTAACAACTCTTTGTTAAAGAGTTTGAGAAGCAATACTGTGAAAGAGAAGCAATATTTTCAAACTCAATCCTGAAAGCAGGTGTTATCCTAATACCAAAACCAAAGAAGGATCCAACTAAAAAAGAGAATTACAAGCCAAATTCCCTAATGAATGTAGATCTAAAAATTCTCAGTAAGACACTGGCAAACAGAATGCAGCAAGTTATGAAGAACATCATACATCATTACAAGTGGCATTCATGCCAGGGATGCAGGGATGGTTGAACAAACGTAAATTCATAAATATAATATACCATGTTAACAGAGCAAAGGACAAAAACCATACGATTACCTGAACAGATGTAAAAAAATTTTTTGAAAAAATCCAGTGCCCATTCATGACAAAAATCCCACAGAAAATTGGAATGGATTGTCTATTTATCTAAGCTGATAAAAGCCACCTAAGAGAAATCAACAGGGAACATACTAAATGGGCGAAAACTGAAAGCTTTCTCTCAAGAATCAAGAAGAAAAAAAAAAAAAAAACAACAATGATGTTCATGTTCCCACTCTTTTTTTTTTTTTTTTTTTGTCTTTTTCATTTTTTATTGGTACCAGGGATCTAACTCACGACTGCTTGCTTGCAAGGCAGGTGCTTATGCCACTGAGCTAAATCCCCAGCCCCTACCACTCTTATTCAACATAGTCCTGGAAACTTTAGCTGGAGCAATAAGGTAAGAGAAAGAAATAAAAGGAATACATATAGGAAAGGGGAAGTTAAACTATCATTATTTGCAGTTGACATGATACTTTACATAAAAGACTCCATAAACTTTACTAACTTTAATAGGTAAATTCAGAGGTACAGATGGACATAAACTCAACACTCAAGAATCAATACCTCTCCTGTACAAAACTCACTGAGAAATATTTGGGAAACACCATTTTTCACAGTGGCATCCAAGAAAAAAAAAATACTAGGAATCAATCTAACAAAGGATGTAAAAGACCTCTACAATGAAAACTATAGTACTCTGAAAAAGGACAATGAGTAGAATATTAGAAAAGGGAGAGATATTCTATGCTCAATATAAAATAAAACTGATGAAACTTATACATACTGTATTTTTCTTACCATGCAACTCACTTCCCAAAAGGCAAGTACCTAAAAGGGAAGTTAACAACCTGGCATACCTCCTTTCACACAGTAAAGGTTTCCTTACTTACTTTCAGTGTAAGACTAAGAAAATCACCCCCAGTCCTCTAGATAAAATGTTCTCAAATCACAAAAAATACTTCCTGACAGATGCAAAAAGGGATAAAAGTAAAAGATGGGGACACACATATGCAAAGAATTAATGAACAATTTTTTTAAGTGAGGAAACTATTACTGAACAACAGACTCACAATCTCTGAATAAAATCTAAACATTTACTTGAGGTAAACTTTTAAATGCACATCACTTTAAAATCTGGATCCTTAAAAGAATAAAAACTTTTAAAACTGCAAAGCATCAAAGCAACGGCAAGCTAGACATACTGTTATACATTAAGAATTTTATGTTTTATACAAACTTTCTGTACAAACTTCATATACCTTTATAGTAGAACTATACATGTTATTTGTCTTTCATAAATTGAACCACAATGTAGTTTTAAAAAAATCTAAACTGGCAATGAAGAAAACTTGCTTTCTGAATTGTAAAATGACAAACACTACTTAGCCTTAAAATTTGAAAACAATCAATATAATAATATTCAAGAGACAGGACACATTAAGTCATGATATAAAGTATGTTTCAAGTCTGAGAACTTAATGACTAAAATACTTCTTTTTCAAAACCAAAAAGATTTCCAGGAAGATAGTGGTGCAGTTAGCAGCACAGAAAACAGCCTATCTGAGAGTGACCATCCAAATGCTGTAAAGAGAACCAGGGATTTAACTGGAAGGACACAGATCCTCTGGACACAGGGAGAATCTGAAGTGTGAACTGAAGCCAAAAGAGAATGAAAAGAAAACCTTCACCAAGAAGAGGGCTCCTTTGCCCACCAGACTCACTACATGAGATTTGTTGGAACATGGGTACAAACTGTCAAGATGACACTGGAGGCTGGCAACCCTGAAGGCCTCTGCAGAGAGACATGGCAGTGCAGGGGAACAGTGGACATGAAAGACTATACTGGCTGGCACTGTGGGCCTTGATAAACCATGACTGGGTCACAGAAAATAATGTGGCACAGTGCTAAAGAACCACGGACTAGGTTAACCAAACAACAACTTCTCATGTCTAACAAACTAAAGAGGCAAGATTTTTCCAAAGACTCAAGCCCAAAAAGCAGCTAAACCTGGAAGATATCTCAGAGAAGGAGTTATCACCTAGGTATCCTAAAATAAAGCAATAAAGCAACCCCACCATAGGCAACTTACAAGCATCACACCATGAACTAAACTGGAAAAAGAAAATAAATGAGAAGACGATTAAACAATATGTAATCCCAATTTTCCAAAGACAAAGTTTACCAAAGGCAAAACCGGAGGCAATGAGGTGCAACAATCCAAAATCACCCCCATCAGGTCTCTCTGAACAACAGAGCAATTGAATGAGGCTCTGGAAAAAATGAAATCAGAAAATAAACACCATGCTTAGTGATGTTACAGTAGACATAGACCAAAACAATAGAGAAGCTTAAGCAAATTACAGAAACGCAGCACAGAATGAAATGGAATCCATACAGCAGATTCAATCAGATATTGTTTGGTCCTGCTACAGGAGAGAGATAAGAGAGAGAAAACAAAGAAAAAGAGGGAGAAAAAGAAACAAAGGAAAAAGGGAAGGAGAGGGGAGGGGAGGGGAGAGAAGGGGAGGGTAGCAGAGAGAAGGGAAGAGAAAGGAAAAGAGGCCTTTATTGCAGTCACAGGAGGGCTGTTAAAGAGATACAAGCACCCCCTGGAAGCATCCAGGGGAAAAAACACAGGCTTTATTTGGAATTGACACTGGGTAGAGTTAAAGGGGTGAATAGAGGAGCATGGCACACACCTGAAGAGCTGGCTTAACTTTTGACTTGCAAGAAGAACACGGGGCGGGGGGAGTAGTTTTGAAGGGAGGTGGCTCTCCAGTGCCATGTTAACTTGCACAAGGGAAAAACCCATCACAAACCAGGGGAATGAAAACTCCATTGAAAGTATTCAAGGTACATTAGGTCAATGTGAGGATAAGATCTCAGATATTGAAGACAGGCTTGCAATTAGTGTCTAGGAAAAAAAAGACTTCTCAAAAGTAGGGACCATGACACATCACTACAGCAGCTGCTAGATGAGACAAAATAGATGAACCTGAGGTTAACTGAAATCAATGAACCAGGAGGAAATACCACAAGTGTCATCAAAAAAAATGTTGACAGACAACACAGAAAAATTTTCTGGTACAGATAAAATAATTTGATATACAAATAACTGAGGAATATAGAATTCCAATTAGCAATGATTTTTTAAAAATCTACAGCTAGGCATTTCACAGTCAAGATTCTAGAAATTCAGCTGGGCGCGGTGGCTCATGTCTGTAATCCCAGCACTCCAGAGGCCGAAGCAGGAAGATCCTTGTGAGTTTGAGAGCAGCCTGAGCCACAAAGTGAGCTCAAGGACTGCCAAACTGCACAGAGAGACCCTGTCTCAAAAAGACCCCCCAAAAAGATTCTAGAAATTCAGCACAGGAATACAATCTTAAAAGCGGTTTAAACAGAAACAAATCACCTATAAAGGAAAGCCTATCAGACTCACAGCTGCCTTCTCAGCACAAACTCTCAAGCCAAGGAGACTTTGAAGTCAAGTACACCAAATTAAAAGGAAAACAACTTTCAACCTAAACTGATTTATCCTGCTACACACCCTTTAAAAATTGATGGAGAAATAAGATATTTCCATAACAAAGAACATCTGAGGAAATTTATGATCACCAAAACACAAAATGTTCTGAAGGACATTCTAGAAAGAGATAATAAGATGAGAGCTCCATGAACCCCAACAGAACGAATCCACCAGGGAGGGCAAACAATTAGAGGGAAGAGGAAAAAAAGCAGAGGGAGCCAACAACATGAAAATAACATGACAAGCATACATCAATACATATCAGTTGTAACCATCAGTGTTAATGGTCTTTTTTTTTTTTCTTTTTCGTTTTTATCGGTACCAGGGATCGAACTCACGACTGCCTGCTTGCAAGGCAGGCGCTTATGCCGCTGAGCTAAATCCCCAGCCCAGTGTTAATGGTCTTAATTCACAGTCAGTCATAGACTGACAGAAGAGATCAAGAAGCACGATCCAAAAATATGCTGCATACAAGAAACACATTCAATTCAAAAGAAATTCATAGACAAAGTCAAAGGATAAAAACAGTACTCCATGCAACAGGAACCCATGAAAAAGCAGGGGTAGCTATTTTGTTTGCAAACAAAGTGAATTTCAAACCAACACTGATTAAGAGAGACAAAGCTGGTCACTACATCATCATTAAGGGAACAATCCAAGGAAAAGACATTACGATCATAAACATATGCAACAATACTAGTGCACACAACTATGTAAAAGTTACTAACAGACATGAAAAATCAGGAGTCCTGATACAACTGTTTTGGGAGATCTCAATGACCCCATCACAAAAAGATAGATCAACTAGACAAAAAATGAATAATGAAATACTAGAACTGAATCAAACTTTTGAACCAATGCACTTACTAGAAGTCTATAGTGTCCCATCCCATGACATCGGAATACACATTCTTCTCAGCTGCATTGCATGGGATATTCTTCGCAACAGACCACATACTGGCTTATTGAATATGACATTGCAATGCACTGCAAATGCATGTCAAAGGAAACCACAAGAACTTCATAAATTTGTGGAAACTAAATAGTACTCCACTGAACAACCAATGGGTCACAGATGAAATTAAAGAAGAAATTAGCTTTTATAGTTGAATGATAATGACAATTAAGCGTACCAAAACCTGTGAGACACAATAAAAGCAGCCTTAAAAGGCAAACTTAAGAGCAGTAAATACATAAGCAAAACTGAGCAGGCACATACAAACAACTTAAATTTGAACCACAGATTTCTAGAAAAAGAACAGCAGGATAAACCAACAGCTCATACAAAGGAGGAAATTATAAAAATCAGGGTAGAAATTAACACACTGGACACTAAAAACTTACAATGAATCAGAGTTGGTTCTTGAAGGATTAAAAAAGACTAAATAAAACTCATATTCTAACAAGATGGAAAATACAGAAGAAATGAACACATTCCTGGATATATATATATAAAGTACCAAAGCTGAATCAAGAAGATATGACAACCCGAAGTAACCCAGTATCAATGAATCAAATCAAAGATGTAACTTTAAAAAACTACCAACCAATTAATTAATTAATTAATTAATTAGATAAATTTTTAAAAGCCCTGTCAACAAAGAAAAGCCCAGGCCCTGATGGATTCACTTCAGAATTCTACAAGAAATTTATGGAAGACCTAACAGCACTATTCTCAAACTCCTTAATGAAATTGAAAAGGAATGCTCCCAAATTCATTCCTGTAAGCATGCATTTCTCCTAATTCAAAAACTAGTGAAGGGCCCAACTAAGAAAGAGAATTACAAGCCATCTCCCTAATGAACAATGCTGCAGAAAATCCTTAATAAGATACTGGCAAACAGACTGCAGCAAATCGTCAAGCAGTCTGTACAACATGAGCAAGTGGAATTCATCCCAGGGATGCAGACCCGGTCCAGTATACATAATCCATACATGTAGTATACCACATAAGAGGCAAGGACAAAAATCATGATTGTCTCAACAGACGCTGAAAGCATATTTGACATAGTCCAGCACCTATTCATGATATTTAAAATTAAAAAAAACGCTGCAGTAAATTGAAATAGATGATCTTTATCTCAATCTGATTAAAATCATCTATGACAAAGCAACAGCCAATATCATACTAAATGGGCAAAAACTGAAAGCCTTCACCGAAAATCAGGAGAAAGACAAGGATATACACCTGTCTCCACTCTTATTCAACATAGTCCTAAAAGCTTTAGCTGGAGCAATTAGATGACAGAGAGAAATTAAAGGAATAAACATTCGGAAGGGAAAACTTAAAACTTTCATTTTTTACAGAAAATATGATACTCTACTTAGAAGACCCCAAAAACTCCACCAAAAGACTTTTAGATTTAATAAGCAAATTCAGTAACATACCTGGTTACAAAGTCAACAGTCAAAAATCAACAGCCTTCTTGTGCACGATTAACAAACTCACTGAGAGAAAAATCAAGGAAACAATGCCTTTTACAGTAGCATCAAAAAAAAAAAAATGGGGCTGGGGATTTAGCTCAGCATCATAAGCACCTGCTTTGCAAGCAGGCAGTCGTGAGTTCAATCCCCAGTACCAATAAAAAAGAAAAAGACAAAGAAGAAGAAGAAACATCTAGGACTCAACCTAACAAAGGATGTAAAAGACTTCTACACTGAAAACTACAGTACTCTAAAAAAGGAGACTGAAGAGGATATTAGAAAATGGAGAGACATCCCATGCTCTTGAGTAGGAAGAATGAATATACTGAAAATGTCCATACTTTCAAACTGTTGTACAGTCAATGCAATCCCAATCAAACCTTGAACAGCATATCTCACAGAATTAGAGAAAACAACCCGACAATACATCTGGAAGTTCTTGAGACATACAGGGGAAAAAAAGAAGAAGCACAGATTATAGCAAAGGCCATCCTGGGAAACAAAGACAAGACAGGGGCATCACAATTCCTGGGTAGAAATTATACTATAAAATTACTGTAATAATAAGTGTGGTACTGGAGGGAATAAAAACACTCAAAAGATCAGTGGAACATTTTAAAAGATGTAGCAACAAATCCAGACACACTAACTTTTTGACAAAGGTGACAAACACACTCACTGGAAGAAAGATAGTCTCTTTAATAAACGATGCTGGAAAAGCTGGCTCTGCACACGCTGAAGATTAAAACTGGATCCTCATTTTTCATTAGGTACTAAGATAAAACTGAAATGGATCAAATATCTTAATAGTAAAATAGAAACATTAAATCTGCTGGAAGATAGAGTACATAAAACTCTTGACAACATTGGTGTAGGCAAAGACTTTATGTACAAGTACAGATTGCGCAGAAACTACTGCAAAGAATCAACAACTGGGATCTCACCCTACTGAAAAGCTTTTGCACAAGAAGAGAAGCCACCAACAGAGTGAAGAGACAACCTACAACATGGGAGAAAATGTTTGCCAGCTATTCCTCGACAAATGATTACCATGAAGAACATAAAAATAACTTTAAAAAACCTCAATCCACCCAGATGTAAAGACTCAATCCAAAAATGAGGATGGGAACACACTCCTCAGATGAAATAAAAAGAGCAAGTAAGTATGTGAAAAAACGTTCAGTATCATTGGTCATTCCAGAGACGCAAATTAACAAATTGTTGAGATTCCACCTCACCCTGTAAAGAATGGCTAGTATCAAGAAATCAAGCCATAAGGAATGCCGGAAAGGCTTGGGGAAAAGGAATCCTTCTCCATGGTTGGTATCTAAAGAGGCAGGACAAATACTGTCAAAATGGCCAGACTTCCAAAACTGGTAACAGACTTAATATTATCAAATCAAAATACAGACAGCATGCCTCACAGAACCACAGAAAACAATTATAGTATTTAATGGAATATTACAGCAAAGAGCAAAAGCAATTATGCACAAAGTAATAGAAAGAGACTATCACAATTCAGTTTCAGCCAGAAATAAAAAGTATGCAACTTGGCTAGCACAAGGTCATGAGTTTGATCCCTGGTACCACCACCAAAAGAAAAAAAGAAAAAGAGAGAGAAGAAGCTTGCAAAAAATAAGACAGGTAAAAAACAAACAAAAAACGTGACAGTTGGCATCAACGAAACAGAACAGAGAAACAACCCTGTGCACACTCAACTAACTGGTCTGTTACAAAGGTACAAAGGTACTAAAATACATGTTGGAGGAAGGACAGCCTTTGAACACATGTACTGGTAAAACTGACTGTCCATATGAAGATTAAATCTGGACACCATGCCTATTCAAGAACTAAACTAAATCAAAATGGATCAAAATTCAAATGTCAAAATACTTAAAAACTCTGGACCAGGGGTTTAGTTAAGTGCCTACCTCCCAAGTGTGAGGTCATGAGTTCAATCCCTAGTACCAAAAAAAGCAAATTTAAATTCTGGAAGACAAGTACCTTCAAACTGAACAGAACTATAATCAACAAAGAATTTATCTTCATGATCAACAGATGGAATTTCATCAAATTAAAATCGGCACAGAAAAGGCAACCTATATAAAGGGAAAAAAAATGTCAGATACACCTAAAACAGAGGATTAACACCTACAATACACAGTATACTAAAAATTGTATCTTTAAAAGCTGTGCAAAACCACCTCCAAAAGACTTCTGTGGCTTTCCTCATAGCAGCTTGCCTTGCATCCTCCAAGGTGTACTTGTTTATGTTGCTTTCTCCTTCAATAATGTGGGCCAAGGTTACTCTGTAGAGCTATCTTTTCTTGTTTCTTGATACAGGGTCTCCTTCTGCAGTTCAAGCTAATCTTAAACTAAACTGAGACTGGCACTAAATTTGCAGCCATCCTCCTGCCTCCACCTCCCAAGTGCAAAGTTTTTTTTTTTTGTTTGTTTGTTTTTGTTTTTGTTTTTTTGTCTTTTTCCTTTTTATCAGTACCGGTGATTGAACGAACTCACGACGGCCTGCTTGCAAGGCAGGCACTTATGCCGCTGAGCTAAATCCCCAGCCCCTCCAAGTGCAAAGTTTATGAGCATGCACAACTGTGGCTGGCCACCTCACTTTTTGTTCTTATTTTAAAATAAATTTTGTCACAGTACTAATGAAAAAAAAAACATCAAAAAACTTCCAAAAGATAAAAAACAAAATTAGAAGTTTTAGAGCTTCCGCAAAAGACATACATATAAAATTCTCTGAAGTACTTTGTAAAACTCTCTGAAGTACTTTGTAAAAAAAATACATACATATAAAACTCTCTGAAGTACTTTGTAAAAAAAATTACTGGCAAATATGTACACAGAGCCTAAGCCACACTAATTGCCCTGTAACTAACACTGTAACAAATGATGTCAATAATGTAATTTTAGAACGAGGTACAATACATCTGAAAATTCTGAGCAGAGAGCCAGAACCAAAAGAGATTTCTTTTTAGTAGTGGACAGTCAACCTTTGGGTAAATTCAGCAGATTTAATTACAGTGGAAACCTATGCAACAAAAATACAACACAACTGCACTATTAAGAACTGACAGCTCCTGGGGATTTGGCTCAGCCACATAGGCACCTGCCTGGCAAGCATGACGTTGTGAGGTCATGAGTTTGATCCCGCCACCAAAAAAAAAAAAAAAAGGAACTGACAGCTTGTGTAGGTTAGTATCTAGCTCCAACCTGTGAGATCTGAATTTGTTATCCTTAGATTTATATAATCTACAAGTGTTAATATTTCAATGCAGCTGTAACAAAGCCATGTCCACATTTTCGAAAAGCCTGCTCAGCTGGGCATGGTGATGCATGCCTGTAATTCTAGCACTTAGCTGAGGCTGAGGCAGAACAATAGTTACAAGTTTGAAGCTAGCCTGGACTACAAAGTGGGCTCAAGGCCACCCTGTGCTATATAGTGACACCCTATCTCAGAAAAAAAAAATGCTGTATTATTCATTCAGCTTATACTTTCTTGACCAAAAAACATCAACACTGCATCCATGAAAGATCAGAACTCCAACAAAGCCAAGTTCAAGGACTAGTCATGCCTATGGATAGCCATTCTAACATTTGAATTATAGTATGACAGGCATTAAATAATCTCCCAAACTCTTTACCAGGTCTCTAAACTTTTCCTATACTAGCATGCCCACAGATGACTACAATTAGTAAATAGCCAAAACATTAAATCACTAATTTAAAAAATCAGTATAACATGAAGTCTTTAACTCTTAGGAAACAATCCTGGCTATAAAGTGAAGTACTAGATTGAATGGAATTTCTGATTTCAGTTTTTTGAGGACTCTTTATCCGATTTCCAAGATGGTTGTTCTAATTTATTTACATTTTGACCAACAATTCTGAAAAATTCTTTTTCCTCCACAGCTTCTATGAAACGTGATTACACTACCACCTTGGTTCACTAACTTCCTTCTTTCCCCAATCCTGGCTGCCAAATAAATTGGATGAGAAACAATCAAATTACCCTATCAAGGTCAAAATTGAATTTGACTGGATTCTTGTCCAATGTAGTCTGCAACCAGAATTGTGGAGAGAATTATGTTCATGAACCAAGGTAACACTGTATTTGATTTCTTTGATCATAGCCATTCTAAGATGAAGGGAGTGGACAGAACAGGTTGAGAAAAGGATGAAGAAAAAAGTTTTAATTATGCATCCCAATTCTCCATGGTGAATAATTATGTGTTGTAAACACATGCTAACATCTTTTTAAAAATATTTCAACCCTAAAAAAAATTCTGTTTTTCTATAGTACTTCTTATCTTACTGAAAAGTAGTTTTCTGAAGTACATTTTTTTTTTTAACTTTTTCATTTTTATCGGTACCAGGGATCGAAATCACGACCGCCTGCCTACAAGGCAGGTGCTTATGCTGCCAACCTAAATCCCCAGCCCTGAAGTACATATTTCACAAATACATAAGTAAGAAACTGGTTTTCTAATTCCTTAAGAGTATGAGCTTAATCTTCTCACCTTTAAGCCACAACTGTCAGCAGAAAGACTTTAACTTTTTATTTTAGTAAAATAAGATTCAACTCAGCATATGCAGTGCTACCATCTAAAACCAATACAATAAACAGTTAAACTTATAGTGACTTCAGGGTCAATGTTTACATTCTGCAATTCAAATCAATTATTTATTGAAAATATTGCTGGCTGGTCATAAAACTAAACGTGTAAGTTACTGATTATGGCAAAACACAGATAACATGTTTGAAGACTGCAAATATGTCATATTATCATTGCAAACCAAACCAAACACATAATAAACAAAATTCAGAGAAACTGAGAATATGGATGCTTCATATCATTTTAAAATATTTTCATTAATTTCTTAAAAACAAGTATATCAAAACCTTTGCATATACTAATTTTGAACTGTCAATTTTGGTTTAACTTTTATTATAAAATTTTAATCTCCAATGCCAATGTCAGTAATTTGCCGTAATAGGCCTTAACATTAAAAGTTCATACTACCCTGAAATATTTTATTTCAAAATGGCGACATTCAACACTGAAGTGCCAGTATTTTGGGAGTGCCTTTTGGTCAAGTTTTTATAAGCTTTCCTAGAATCATTTTTTAGGCTTACAAAAATAAGTTATTTGTCAAAGTGTTCAATAAATATTACACAAACTAGCAGCATAAGTGTCTAAGGTCTATCATGTGCAAACAGTCCTTTTAACTACCATCCATAGTCCCAAGTAAAATCTTAGAAACTAGCTCTTGATGAGCTCTGTTCAACAATCATGAGACAAAACAAGATTGGAAATTTAAGGAGTGGTACACAAGGCATATATATAAAATTCAATGTGCAGTAAAGTAAATACTTTGTTAAAAACTATGGGCAAATTTGTATACACGAGTCTAAACCTACATTAATCGAAATAGCAGCAAAACAAATGACCTCAATACTGTCAAAGGGCTCCTACTTTAGTAAGTTAGAACAAAGCACGATACACCTAAAAATATATTGCACTTAGAAGAAATTTTTGTCAACTTGTGCCACTCTAAAAACTTTTTTTAAAGATTGTGTTCTGTTGGGGCTGGGGATTTAGCTCAGCACATAACCACCTGCCTTGCAAATAGGCGGCCCTGAGTTCGATCCCTGGTGCTGGGAAAAAAAAAAAAAAAAAAAAAAAAAAAAAAGATTGTGTTCTGTCCACAACATCCCAAATGAAAAGGCATTTTCTTTTCAGTAGGAGACAGACATCTTTGGACAAACTCAGCAGAGGTATAAATATAATGGAAACCTATGGTTAAAATAGAGTAGAACAGCACTGTTAAGAACTGACATATTGCACAATTTAGTACATAGCTCCCACCTGTGAAATCTCAATTTGTTATTCTTAGATTTAACAAAGTCTACAAGTGTAAACCACCTTAACATTTACTACAGTTATAACAAAGCAATGGCACAAAAAGAAAGCCTGCTTTATAATTCCCTTCAATTTGAACTTTCTTGACCAAGATATACCCACAATGCATCCATGAAAGACCAGAACTCCAACAAGGCCTGTAACAAGGGCAAGTCATTCTTATGGATAGTCATTCTAACATTTCATTTATACTAAGGCAAGCATTAAAGAATCCAAGTACATGTTCCCACACACCTTCAGTCAGGTCTCAAAACTTTCCCTGTAGCAGTATACTTACAGATGACAAACAACATTAAGAAGCATCCTAAACACTAAAAAAGGAATTGCTGTATTTACTGGCATCCAAGAATGCGTTCCAAAAATGTTACAGTTGTTTTTACACATCACACTTCGTGACTGGAATGGCTTATAATTTGTCTGAAGTGCCTATCCAGAAGAGTGAACAAATTAGAATTTTAGTAGTTTGTTTCATTAGAAAATAATTACTTTTAAGATCTCTTTCTTTCCACCAGGATCTGCAAGTATGGAAGTCCTAACACAGGCTACTGCATTAGTTTTTCCCTTTTATTTACTGATAAAATTATTATCTCTGCTAAATTGAATCACGCCTGTGTGCCAAGGTTTAATTGTAGCCCAAGTTCAGTGAATTTATTTTGTCCAAATAATTGATATCTTGAGCACTACTGAGCCAACAAGACATCAAATAAGTTGTCTAAAGTTGACAGTACATTAACAAACAAATGATTCTCAGTCACAAAATTACAAATGTGGTTTGGGGTGGAATTAAGCAGGAGGCAAGTTAATCCATACTGTGGCAACTAAATCTTCAACTTCTGAATATGGCTGTAGTTGTTCTGTTCATTTCTTCTAGTGACTTTCAGCTCTCAGATTTTTTAGGAGAATCACAGCTAGTAATGTACTGCAAGTTCTTGAAGCTACACATTTTAGTCTGCCTAAGTTACATGTGGTTTCCATATCAGCTTGTATGAAAGGATGATGACTGTAGCAAAGTCGATTCAGTTGCCCCACCAGTCAACCCCTTGGGAGTTATAATTTCCACCGTATCCATCATTATTGTAGAAGCCTCCATAGCCACCTATACAAATGATTCAAAGAGAAATTAAGTCATGCCATTAGTATTTTTACATTTTTACTTTGCAATATAAACATGAGTTATCTACTACTGTACTTCGTGTTTTTTCAAAATTGGAATTTCATAATTATGCTTTGAAACAATGACCAAGAAGGATGAGGGGTTTTTACAAAGAAATACTAACATTACCTCCACCAAATCCTCTGGCATTGCCACTGCGGCCACCACTTGCACGATTGCTACTAAAGCAAGAACTGCTGGAACCACTACTTTGTCGATAATCTCTGCCACCAAATCCTCCACTGAATCTATTTTAAGGAAAAATTTACGTGAGTGTCATGTTCATATAAAAACGTTAATAGCCATAAAAACTTCCCAGTTCTCAACTAATTTTACAATTTAATTCACACTGTAGTCAAAAAATTCTTAAAAGCCTAAGCAGAGAAGAGCTAACCCTTTCTAGAATTACTCCTTATTTAAAGTGTTTAGGTACTTAAAAAATCTGTTAATGTCTTAATCTGATTTTAAATTTAGCTTCTTGCCCCAAGCTGTTAATAGTGTACCTCTTAGAACGTCCTCGACTGCCACCCTTGTAATGATGTTCGAAAGCCATACTTTCCAACCAAGATGGCACCTCTTGTTTAGCTTCAATCAAAAGATCCAACAAATCCTTTGTGATATTTGCATTTCTTTCATTAAAGAATGAGGTGGCAAGGCCTAAACAATAAAAAAAAAAAAAAACAGAAAAAAGCACACAAAGGGTAATTTTCATATGTTATTAAGTAGACCAATGACACATATGAAGGCTGGGGATTTAGCTCAGCGGCATAAGCACCTGTCTTGCAAGCAGGCGGTCGTGAGTTCGATCCCCGGAACCGATAAAAATGAAAAAGACAAAAAAAGAAAAGAAAAAAAAAAAAAAGAAAGAAAAATAACCAAGCTGGGGCTGGGGATTCAGCGGCAGCCTGCCTTGCAAGCAGGCAGTCGTGAGTTTGATCCCTGGTACCAATAAAAATGAAAAAAAAAAAAAGAAAAAAAAAGAAAAATAACCAAGCCAGAAGATCAGTAACAAAAACTTTCAAGTTAGTCCCCAAAAAATAAAAGATCTATCTTATAATTCTATCAAATGCTTTACATCAAACATACATACAAAATATGCAACTCAACACTTTACCAAGGTTGCCTACACGCCCTGTACGGCCAATGCGATGCACATACTCTTCAATGTCACTTGGCAAATCAAAGTTGATAACATGTTTCACATTTGAAATGTCTAGACCTCTTGCTGCCACCTGAAGAAATAATATTCATTAATAGAAAGCAAAACTCAAACATGATTAAGTAAAGAGTAAAATATACACACAGCTGTGGCCACTAGAATTGGGCTTTTCCCTGAGCGGAACTGGTGAAGTGCTTCCTCTCGATCTCTTTGTGATCTGTCTCCATGAATACTGGTACAGGCAAACCCTTCGTGGTATAAGAAATCTTCCAGAGAATCTGCACCCTTTTTGGTCTCCACAAACACCAAAGTCAAGGAATCTTTCCCTGAAAAATTAAGATTTTGTTTACAATGACCTGGCATCACTACTTACTCTAAATATTAACTGGCCTAATTCTTGCACTCTGGTTAAAAAGGGTACATCAAATTGGGAGACATGGGGGCACAAAAATACAGAGATTCTTTATCTTGCCCACACTACCACTCATAATTTTACCTGTGGCACATAAGAGATCAAGCAGAAATGACCGCTTATCAACCTCTTCCACCCAAACTACTTTCTGCGTGATGTTCTCAGAAGTAGAGCCTACTCTGCCTACAGCTAGAAAGATGTATTCATCCAAGAAGTCACGAGCAAGCATCTGGAAAAAAAAATTCCTTTATACGAGACACTGCCTACAACCACAATGCTCTTAAACCAACCCACCAACCCACCAATCCATCCACCCAACATCAAATAGTACCTGTATCTCCTTAGGAAAGGTAGCACTAAACATCATAGTATGACGAACACCTTTAGGTGGCATAGTATCTTGTTCAACTATACGCCGTATTTGAGGTTCAAATCCCATATCCAACATTCTGTCTGCTTCATCCAGTACCAAGTATCTGTTAATAAAAAAAAATCAACACTGGATAGTGACTGGGTAGAGAACTGTATTAGCTAAGAAACTTCAATATAACTTTCAGGTATGATGGAGCATGCATATAATTACAGCACTCCTAATGACTGTCATGAATTTGCCAGCTGGTGCAAGGTCAGCCTAAATTACATAGTGAGACCTTGTCTCAGGGAAGGAGTAAGGGTATAAGGGAAGAAATAAGAGAAAAGGAAGGCAGGGAAGGGAAGAAGAAAGAAAAAAAAGTAAAACCCAACCAACATACTTGCAGAAGTCTAATCCAATTTTCCCTCTTTCCATCATATCTACCAAACGTCCTGGAGTAGCAACTAGTAAGTGGCAGCCACGTTCTAAGTCTCGAATCTGCTGGCCAATATCAGCACCTCCATATACTACACAAGGACGAACTCTAGACCTGTATGAAAACTATAAGCAAGAAATGTATTAGTGTTAGAAACAAGATTATGATCAATGAAAAAGCTAGTAAGCTGGTTCCTGCCTATAAGCACAGCATTTGGGAGGCTGAGGCAGGAGTTTTGTTGCAAGCTCCAGACCAACTTGGGCTATAAAGTGAGCTCAAGACCAGCCTGAACTGTGTAGAGGGGCCCTGTCTCAAAAGACAGCAAAACAAACAAACCAATAAGCACTATAATGTGTACTTACTTTTCTGGCTTCCTCATAGATCTGCACAGCCAATTCTCTTGTTGGGGCTAACACCAAGGAGATTGGGTACTGTTTGCGGCGTCCATACCTCCCATTTTCCTAAGGAATTAAGCAGAATTTCAAACAATAAAGATCCAAAACTTCAGCTTTTTTTAGAAAGTCCATTATAGCAACAATTTCTTTTACGGCTTAAAAACTATACCAAACAAATTTTCATTAGAAGCTGCAAACAGCAACAAAAAGATGTATTTACCATTGCTTAGAAAGATCTATAATTATGTGTAAAACTTTTTTAAAATAAAAAATTATTTCTGTATAAAGGTATCTTCACCTTTGCAGCTTTTAAAGCCTCTCCTGGACCATCTGTATATATCTGACTCAAGATTGGTAGAAGAAATGCTGCAGTTTTTCCAGACCCTGTGAAGAAAATAATGGCTTATTAAATTTGAATTTGGGATTGGGAGGCTGAGGCAGAAGGATCACTTTGAATTTGAGGCCAGCCTGGACTAACAAAGTAAACTGAAAGCCTGAAACTGCAGAGCAAGACCCTGTCTTAAAAAGAGCAGGAGGGGGTGACAAATCTGAATTAGGGGATGGGGAGATTGAGAAAGGGTCTTATGTTTTTTTAGACTGGCCTTGAATTTATCATAATCCATCTGATACAGATTTTTCACTATAACATCAGGCTTAAATTTGAAGAGATGATAAAATATCCCACATGTCCTTTGAAGAAAGTCTATCCTACTGTCTGCCTGTTTTTTCAGGGCAATATAAAAAAAGAACATAAAATTATCTACTATACTTTTCTCTTTTCTTTTGGAAGATGAACCCAGGACTTCCCCAATGAGTTCTTTTACTTTTAGTTTTTATTCTGAAATATGGTCTCATCAAATTTCTCAAACTCAATTTGAAGTAAATAACCCATTTTTGAACAATACAGCTTAATTTGTATAAAAGTATCATTTTGTTTCAAATGTGTCATCATCATTTATTTTGACTTTTCTACGTAGTTATTATATATTATTAGAAAGTAAACTATAGCAAATTTTCCTTAAAAGATCTAGTAGTTCTTTTTTTGGTACCAGGGATTGAACTCACTACCTCGCCCTTACCAGGCAACATTTATGCCACTGAGCCAAATCCCTGGCCTGACCAATAGTTCTCAGACACAAGAAGTTGCCTGTAATCTCAACACTTAGGAAGCAAAGTTTGTGAATTTTTATATAGTGTCTAACAAAGTCTAACAAAACCAGGTCTTGAAGGCCAGTCTGCACCAATTTCCAGTGACTTCTGCAGCCACAGATGGATAAATAGGCAAGGTTATACTGAAATACAACTTTTCTTGTGCTCACTTCAGCAACTCATATATTAAATAAATCCTTTCTTAAACAAATGTCTGATTCTGGCTAACGCCTGAAAATCAGTAACTCAAGACGCATTAAAAATGCTATTCCATTTCTTACAAAAAATATTTAAAAATTTCAGATATTTAAAATGCAAATACAAGTATGTGAACAAAAAATATTTCCTTTGTAACAAATTCTTATATAAAAGTTCTATCCCTACCATACCCCTAAACACTAAGGAAAATAAGTCAGAGATACTTTCTCTTGCCCACAATTTTAGTTTACAGTCTTTCTCCATGTTACTTTCTCCAAGGTGTATTCATAATTTTCTTTGTTACCAGGTTGACAATCTGCTACAAGTTACCCAAAGATGGTCTGATAAGAATACTAGTTTCACCCTAAGGATTCTAAGGTTTTTAAACATAACTATACTAATCTCTAGCTACATCTCAAAGTCATGCCAAACAAAGGATTCAGGCCTCCCTACAGGACTATAGGGCACACTCAGTTAAAATACACTTTTACTCTATCAAACATGAGTACCTGTTTGAGCACAAGCCATTAAATCTCTTTTTTGTTTGATAATAGGAATTGCATGTTTTTGCACCGGAGTAGGACGAGTATAACGAGTAAGTTCAATGTTTCCCATGATAATTTCTCCCATCTCAACATCACTGAACTATAAACAAAAAACAAAACAAAAAAACCACAAAATTTTATATATATCTGTATCTATCTATCTATCTATCTATCTCTATATATATATGGGGGAGGTCAATCAAGAACAGGGTTAAAGAGAAATGCTCTCTGATATGCTTATTTCATATTAATATTTCATATTAATAAAATGAAACAATCAAGTAAGTGCTTACAGTTTTAGAGTATTACAGTACATTTTAAAAAACTGGGTTTCTAGCTCTATCTACAGTAAAGAAAAAATTTGGTTCTTCATGTTTGATGTATTTTTTTTTTTCTCTTTAAAACACATTGTTTTCAAAAGTCAAACTAAAAAATCTTACATTTTCAATATGTGGAGGGCAGTTATTGCCAGTTGCCTCTACTGGTATATCATCGTATTTCTCAAAGTTAATCCCCGTGTTTCCTCCTGAGAAAAGTTCCCTGAAATCAGATCATTGTATGCATGTTATACTAGATAATAAGTTTCACAACACTTAATAACATTTTTCAAAAACTTACTGTTCTAAGCGTTCACTTGGAGGAAGTGGTTTGGACCAATCATCTTCATCTGATCTGTCATACCAACGACTATGTCCACTACGTTCAAATTTGCCAAAGCCAGCTCTGTCACGACAGCCAGCACTATCATAATCACTCCGTCCATGATCATCAAATCTAAACAGCATACATAATTGCTATTTAGTTAACACTGAACATAATTTTTCTTCAGATATGTCAATAATTCTACATAATTCAAACACCAGTTGTGTAAAAATGATCTCTATTCAACTACTGCTTGGGTATAGCTTACACTTTTATTTTAAAAAAAGAAAAACAACTAGTAGTAGAAAAGCAAAAACAAGTAAGAAGTATATAGAGAGGAATATGTACTTATGAGAAGACTTTAAGTTTTACTTTTAGTCATTTATAATAAACTGAAAGCAGTTTGGTTTGGTGGTTCAAAAATAATATTCCAAAACTTAGGAGGTTAAGGCAGGAAAGCCATGAATTAGAGGCCAATCTGGTCCACATAAAAAGATCTATCCTTTAAAACCAAAATAGTCAGGTATCGCAGCATTACACCTCTAATCCCAGCACGTAGGAGGCTGAGGCAAGAGAATCATAAATTCTAGATCAGCACTGGCTACAAAGTCAGCTCAATGCTGGAAAGAATTGCATAGCAAGATGCTGTGTCAAAAAAACAAAGGAAACCAAAAGAAATGAAAAGTAAAACCAAAAAACATCAGGAATTTAGCTCAATGGTGCAGCACCTGCCTGGTAAGCATGAAGTCCTAAGTTCAACTTAAAAAAAAAAAAGCCATGAATTTAGCTCAGTGGTATGTAAGTGCCTGTGTGGCAAGTGCGAAGTCATGAGTTCAATCCCCAGTACCAAAACAAACAAACAAACAAACAAACAAACAAGATTAAAAACTCCCTTATAACACCAAGAGAAACAAAACAAAACAAATCCAGAAATAATACTAAACTAAATACAATTATTCAGTTATTAATATCAATTTACCAGAATAAGCAACTTAAAATATTTAAATTGACTATGGTGGTTTAGGAGAATAACCACAGATCAGGGAAAGCTGAAGCAGGATTATCTCAAGTTTGAGGCCAGCCTTGACTAGACTTAGCAAAATTCAGACCCAATCCCAACTCCGTAAGTGAGACCCTGTCTCATCCAAAATAATAAAGTTTAAAAATTGTAGTTCATAAACATCTCAAGTAGAAATACATTTCATATTATTCCACACAACTTTACCTCAGGTCTACCTACCATAATGCTACTGCAAAAAATTTATCTAATTTAGAAAGGACTCCTCCCAAAACAAAAATAATATCAAACAAAAGCAACATTTTGCTTAATCAACTAGTACATTATCTGTAAAGGAAAAACAGCCTGTTAATTAAATCAAAAGCAAACCAAGTATGGTGACTCATGCATATAATCCCAGCACTTGGGAGGCTGAGGCAGGAGGATCACTGCAAATTCAAGACCAGCCTGGGCTACAAAGTGAACCTAAGGCCAGCCCAAACTGCACAGCAAGACCCTGTCTCAAAAAGACAATGAATAAATAAATAATTAAAATAAAATATAGCAAATTAAGATTCCTAAATTAGACTAAAGTAGTTTAGTAGTATAATATTTGTCTAGCATGCAACAAGGCTCCTGGTTTCACCCTTTACAAAATGATTCCTAACTAACACATGCATTCATAAATTTTTTACCTTCCCCTTGATCCACTGCGACGATCACTGAAATAACTGGACTTTCCCCTTGAATCACGAGATCCAAAACTGCTATATGCATCCCTATCTTTACTGCAGCTCCATCCTGAACTTTCCTTATGGTAGAGGCCTTCAAAAAAAAAAAAAAGAAGCAAAAATTAGAAACTGTCAGGACTCTGTAGGACTTGCAACTCTCTAAATATTAAGCTATTTAATGACAACTTTTACTTTTTCTGTGTGGAATGAAAGATTAATTTAAAAATCTTTTAATTCTCTCTTCATTTAAGCAACGTAATCCTGGGACAGCCATGAATAATGTCAGAGAAAGCAATGGTGGCATGTTGGAGGTCTCAAATGACAGCTGACTGCCATAGGTCCATGATTCAATGAACTGGTTGTCCCTGGTTCAAGGATGTGAGGTAGGAGCAGGACAGCTGGGTGTCACGGCGGACAGTGGATATTCCTCTGTGGTAGCATTCAGATCAGGGTGGCTCCTCCCGAGTTCACAGTCTGGGAGTGCTGCTACCAACACCTCTACTTCTGCTGCCGCTCATAGTATTGCCCTAGCTGCCTGCACTTGTTGCCATCTCTGCCCTTGCCTCATGACTTCTGGTCCTGAAGCCCACAGGCATAGGGCCCAGGGTAAGCTTCTACCTGAGTGAGGCAGAAAGTATAATTTAGTGAGGTGATCTTGCACATAATGGTGCATGCCCGTAATCCCGTCACTAGGGAGGCTTGAGGTGAGAGGATCTAGGAGTGCTTGGAGTTCAAGGCCAGGTTGGACTACAAAATGAGGTCATGGCCAGCCTGAACTGCACAGCAAAACCCTGTCTTAAAATGACAACAGACAAAAAGAGAAAAAAAAAAAAAAAAAAAAGGAAAAATGTTTATCTTGGTGTGCTGGTGCACATCTCTAATAGCACCTGGGAGGCTGACGCAAGAAGGCTGCCTCAAATTTAAAGTCAGCCTGGACTACAAGGTAAGCTTAAGGTCAGCTGAACTACTACATAGGGAGACCCAGTGTCAAAAAAAAAAAAAAATACAGTTCAGAATCAATACCATACCTTCATTCCATACTTCAGTAAACTATTACTATGACAATTCATTTTATTAACAACAATATAAAAACAGCAAATTCAATTCTAAAAAGATTGGCAAATCCTTAAAACTTGAACCAAGTTAAAAGGGATTTTTCTTTTAGTATAAGGATCTGAACTCAGAGAACTAAATCTAGCCCTTTTCTAACCTTTTACTTGGACATGGTTTTGCTAAATTGCCCAGAATCTCCTTGAACTTGCAATCGTCCTATCTCAGTCTCTTGAGTAGCTAAGATTAGAGGTACTGCCACCATACCATTTTAAGATTAAGTTAAACTATAGGCAACTACTTTGAAGGCAGTAAGATTCACTATGATGCCCATTCTGGTTTGACTATTATCTTCTTTGGAAGTCCTGTAGTGTCTACAAGGTTTAGGTTTTATTGGTCTTGTTCTCTACTGTTTTGTTCACCTTTATAATACCTTATGAGATAGACAATTCTTTTTAAGGAAGCACGAGGCATTATGGTAACCATTGTCGATAACCTTGTACTCTGTTTTTACATCATGTGCTATGTCTACCCTTAGTTTTGACTGACAGCTTTGTTTTGCCATACTTGACTTTATTCTCTTCCAAAAAAAAAAAAAGTAGTAAGAACTAATGAGTAATAAAACTCAAAATGTGTAAATTTTGTTGTAAAAAAGAAAGGGAAGGGGGCTGGGGGTTTAGCTCAGCGGCATAAGCACCTGCCTTGCAAGCAGGCGGTCGTGAGTTCGATCCCCGGTACCAATAAAAATGAAAAAGACAAAAAAAAAAAAAAAAAAAAAAAAGAAAGGGAAAAAAAGTGCTCTAAAGTATACAACTGCAAGTGTGTTTAGGGGTGTTAAATAGATGACCATATTAATGTTTTTGGTTGGATCATTGAATACAACTGTTTGCAGTCTCACTGTTTGAATGTCCACTTTGTATGTTTTGATATTGTGACTTAAGCAACTATCTCTAAGATGATAAATGTAATCTAGTAACTGGTGATTTCTTACAGTTTTTTTTTGTACCTCTGTATTAATTGTACCCTTACACTGCTTTGTTTTGTTTTGTTTTTTCTCTTTTGCCTTTTAAATAAAATTAAAAAAAAAAGATTAGGTTTAACTGTGTTAATTTATGTCTCACTTTTAAACAGCTGGGAAGTCTTGTGCTAAAGTTGTTTAATTTACACATACCCCACACAGTACCTGATTGTGGTGGTGCACATTTGTTAATCCCAGGGTTCAGGAAGCTGAGGCAGGTTTGATACTAGCCTGCATTACATACTGAGTAGGCCAAACAAGACTGAAAATATACGAGACTGTCGAGAAAAATGCCTTCTGCAAAATGTCACACTCATACCTTTAGATGTTTCTCTGTTCCTTAAATGAGGGGGTATGTAACGTCCCTCTAAAAGAGAAAATGCAAAAATTGAACTCATATGTATTATATTCTACCAAAGTTTATCAAAATGTCAAATTACTAAGAGCTACTTTTTCTCCTAGGATAAAATACTACACATTAAAAACATATAAAAAGGCTGAAAAGAAAAAATTTAAAGCAATTGTTTTATTTCTTGAGCTTTTAAAAATTAAAGTCTGTCACCTGATCCATGCATAAGTAAAAGTACAAAGAAGTCACTTACTATTGCAAAAGCACAAAATTTAATCTTCAATATTAAAAAATCCAATGGCACTTGCTTAAATTGTGATAGTTAAGTAACCACCTAACTACCCTCCTTTCCAAAATACTAACTCCAAAAAGTCCCAGTGCTCTTTTATATCCAACTGTTTTAGAAACAGTTTCTCACTAGGTAATTCAGATTGGTCATGAACACACTATGTAGCACATGCGGCCTCAAACTTGCAGTAATTACCTTACCTGAATTTCCCAAGTGCTGGCAATAAGAAATGTGTGCCATGAAACCCAGCCTAACATGTTAAAAACAAATTTCTTTTCACATGGCTAACACAACGCACTATGCTTCAAATTCTTTAAGAGAAAATGGCTGGGGGCTAAACTGGGTATTGTGGCACATGCTTTTAATCTGAGCACTTGAGAAACTGAGACAGAAGGATCACCTGCACTATAAAGTGAGCTCTAAGCCAGTCTGAACTGCACAGTAAGACCTGTCTAAAAAAAAAAAAAAAAAAAAAAAAAAAAAAAAAAGACTAATGGTAACTATAGATTATAAATATACAAATGGTCTTGATAAATTTAACACAGTTCAGGAGAGAATGCACACATCTTCATATAATTTTTTACTTACTGCTTGCTGTACCTGCTCCCCCACTCTGATTATCACAAGAGTTCAGGTCTAGACCAGCCAACTGGAAGAGAGGCATTAAATACAACACAGGTACATATAAACTAAAGGAAAGAAAATCAAATAGCATCATGGCATTTGCTAATGGCTTTTGTTTGCCTTTAAAGTTTTACGAATGCTTTTAAATTCACAAAGCATGGCAATGACGACAGGCAGATCATGAATTAACACAGGATCTTAGCAAACCATTTTATAAAGCAAATACCAAATTTAAAATGTCCTTTCAACTTTTCTGTAACGAAATTTAGTAATTGTCTTTGAAGACTAATCTTAATGCCACTGATTACTTCCTGATACTATTTTCAACTTAAAAAAAGGAACATTTGAAAATTCCTTGATTTCTTTATGTTCTAAACAACACTGCACTCCGATGAACTCTTGGACATCATCGAGATATGATGGTGCACATCTATCATTCCAGTACTAAGGACGTCAGCTCAGGCAGGATTATGATAATCAGGACTTTGGGGTCAGCCTTCACAGTAATTAAAACCAATCCGAATATGCAACCTATCCTGTCTCAAACAAACAAAACTCCTGGACATCAGAATCCAGAACACTGTACTGTCACCATCCAAAAGATGCTAAGTAAAGCATAATAAATTTACATATCACAGCACTGATGCTTGGTACTTGAAGAGTGGCAATATTCCTTCCACTTATACATTCGACAAGTTTAGGTCTTTAGCCATAAATATAATAAGAAAATTAAATTACATTCAATGCTTTAAAACATTTCTAAAACCACCTTACAATATCTCCAATGTTTTGGTTTTGTCGGTTTTATCCTTTACGGTTTTGTTCAATAGTATTACAACTAATGATATAGGCAATTCTATTAGAAATAGCGGGAGGCATTAGGGTAACCATTGTTGATCACCTTGTATTATGTTTTTATATTATCTATTATATCCACCCTTTTGACTTGACCGATTCTGTTCTGTTATGTCACATTTGGTTTTACTCTCTTCCAAAAAAGCAATAAGAACAGTGGGAGCAATGAAACCCAAAATGTGTAATAGTCACTGTACAAAAGAGAGGAAAAGAAAGTGCTCTAAACTATATAACTGCATGTATATTTAAATGTATAAGACAGAAAATGATATCACAGAGTTCTAATGGATCATTGAACAGAACTGTTTGCAGTATCATTGCTGGAATGTCCACTCTACAAACTTTAATTCTGTGACTTGAACAATTATTTCTAAGATGGCAATATGTAATCTATTAACTAGTGATCTCCTACTGCGCATTTTTTTCTTCTGTAAATCTGTATAACTTGTACCCTTCACTGTTTTTTTTTTCTTTTCTTTTCTCCTTAAATAAAAATTTAAAAAAAAAAAAAAAAAAAAAAAAATAAAACCACCTTAACCTCAATTCTTTTCTCACACCAACAGATACCAATACAATAGGGAAAAAAAGCTATTTCACTTTGTTATAGCTTACAAAAATTTTTTGTTTAACAAGTGTTAAAATCATTTGTTTTGTTTTTAGACAAGGACTAGGCTGGCCTTGAAATTTCAGCAATTTCAGCCCTATTTCTATTTCGATGCTGTATTTTAACACATTAGATCTTGACAAACGCTAGTATTAACATAATCGTCTTGCAAACAGAAAATAAAACCTTCAAACATATAAACTAGCAAATCCTTTTAATTACATACAACATTTAAACGCCTTAAATGTCAGGAGATTGACCGCAGAAAACCTGATAAACGGTCTACATAACTCAAAAAATCCATCAAAAACAAAACTACAGTAGTGACAGATTCTTGCAATGGTAAAGTTTGTGAACACCACTTCTAAAAATATGCACTCTCTTCCCGGCGGTCAATACCTCAAATGCTAAAGTATTCCATTTAAAAGAAGAAAGAGTCTTGCTTTAACCTTCCTGCACTGGCAAATAATGCCACCACCCCGCCCCCCCAAAAAACACAAAAAACAAAACAAAACAAAACAAAACAAAAAAAACACCCTATCTCCTCGTACTTTGTTTTTCTGACAGGAGCCCGCTATGTAGTTTAGCTCAGACTAACCACCAATTTGCAGTCATCTTCCTGCCTCAATCTCCCGTATGCTGGTATTACAGGGATGTGCCACTGAGCCCGTCCACACGCTTTAACTAAAGCATACAAATTACAATAAAAATAAAACTGCCTTTGGCTAACTTGCTATTCAGTAACTACTTTTACAAGTGACTGTACAAAAGCACAGTGTATCCGCCCCAGCTAGCGCCTGACCTCGGTTATCTCCAGACAGGGATTAAGACAACTCGTGGCAGCCATTCCTTTCCGGCCTCTAGTCCCCACCATTCCTTTCCTGTTCTCACGCGTCACAAGACTTTCCACTCCATGGAACACAAAATCACATAACATCTCCTCATCGCTCGCTTTATATTGTCCTGCTACTACAAGGCAGGGTAGCAGCATAGAATTAAACAGAAATGACCATAAACCAACCCCTCAGAAAGTGCCCCAAAAGGACCCATCTTGCGTTCCTAAACGTCACAAATTAGTGGGCGCCCGCATATGCGCGTTTCCACGGAACAGCGTTCCTTTATAGTAAGTCCGCCATTACGCGCCATTGAACCCAATACCCTAGGCTATGCCTGATAATCAGGTTACTGCCAACGCACTTTGTCACTAACAATTCTTTATGGCTCAGTTCACATTCTTTCCCCATTTTACACAGGCCACCCCACGATACGGAAGCCAATAGTAGAGAAAACGAGCTCAATAAACACTTCGTCATGTTAAGTCTTCGAACAAGTAGGCTTATTTCATCTTACCTGCTGGTCCACGCCGCCCAGCGTATTTCCCACAGTCACATGACTCATCCCTGGAAAGAACGGAGAACTTGAGGTATCTCACTGCAGGTTTTAAGTCCGAAAGCCGGACTTCTGACAACTATTCGTTTACAGTCCGGCGACACTAGTATTACACTTACTCTGCAGAGTACATCAGCACGCAAGACACGTATCTGCCTCTTCGGTGCTCGCCAACACCTCCACCACCATCACTACTAACACCACCGTTTTAAAGTAGCCGTTACTTTTGCCTTAGATACTCTCGTGCTTAAGTCATAACCTCGCGAGATCTTTGAGTCTCGTCACAACTTCTGGGAATCGCGAGAATTTTGTTGTCGTCGCCCACTACCAAAGCGACACGTTTGAGTTCTCGGAAAGTAGCGAGGAATTACTGTTTTTAGTCTTTAGTGGAAAACGTTTTTCATCCCCTTCCCTCGTTCCTCCCTTTTCCCTCTACCCCAGGCACTCTTTTTCTTCCCTTAGGATTATGGGAGTCAGAAGTTTTCTAAAATTTCTACTTACTTTGGCTTCGGGGCAGCTTTAGCAGATTATGAACCAGTGAAATAAAACCCTGAAACAGAGGGTTTAGTTCCACCTAATCAAGTGTGGCTGGTGTAGAGTCCATTTCGTAGAACAAAATACCATCGCTCGAATACTTAGGTGGGGAGGAGAAACAAGCGGAAGGTGGGCAGAAAGATTTCAAGGGCAAGGCAACATAGAGGACAGTCCGTAGCACTTACAAGCTGGCGGGCTACCCCACTAAGATGGCTTAGGCTGCTGGGGGTTCCCAAGTACCTGAGGCCCTTCTTCTTACTGATGTGTTTCCCCTGCAGGTAGATGAAGTGTACGCCTCACGCAGTGAGGACACAATGAAACAATGATACTGTCAATGACGCCTCCGGTCATACGTACTCCAGATGACCTCTTCCCATCCTAGCTAAGTACATTAGTAGCAGTGAACTAGTACTTGATGCTAACAGTACTGTATTCTATCTCTGAAAAACCCACAAGGAATGGAACTGTGAATATGACCCCCAGGCAGCACTAGTGAGCGGAAAATGGAGACAATGGGCTTACTTGGAGTGAGGAATTGCGTTTGGTGGTCCGAATCAATTTCAGCACTACAGTTCACTAAAGTGCCAGATGCTAAGACTCTCCTGACTGGAATTTACTTTAAACACCTAAAATATTCACAAAGGAAAAGTTCCTAATTTTGGTTACTCAAGACATGTATAGCTAAAAGACTAGATTTGTTAATCTATATAATAAAAGAGTATCAGGTTGAAAAGAAACAATACATCTGTAAATCCAGTACTAGAGATACTAAAGCAGCAAGTCATGCCATGATTTAGAAGCTATTCTGGGCTCACAGTAAATTAAAGTCCAGCCTTAGTTACATAACAAAATTCTGTCTCAAAAAAAAAAAAAAGGCAAAGTAGGCAGATAAAGGGGTATGACAGGATACCAAAAAACACAAAACAGACTGGGAAAGAACGATGAACAAAAAGTTTTGTCTTCACAGTCTCTCTGAAAAAGAAAAATGTATTCATTACTGATGGTTAGTAAATAAAATATCTTTCACAGAACTTCTGGTAGTAAACAATTATTCTATTAAGTAATCATTTCCACTCATTTTCCCAATTCTATCTTTTCATTATTCTGTAATTTCAGTTAGCCCTCCCCATGGTAGGGGGCACTAACTGTACTAACCTACATTCCTAGATTTTTTTAAAAAAATTGTGCAACAGAGTTTTGCAAAGGCGTTACATTGCTCAGGTTGGCATTTTCTGATCCTTCCTCTTAGCCTGTAAGAATGCTGGGATGACAGACTTGCCCTCCTACACCTGGGTTTTAATGTCTTACTACAGACATAATATTGAGAAATGCGTAAGATTGAAATGATGGAAAAGTGTAGACAGCATGTATAATTGGTATGGGGAACAGAAATTTCTGACTTAGCATATGTACAGTATGAGTTCACGTTCTCCAAGATTGAATGAATTTTAGGAACAATGGAGACTAAGAGCAGAAATATTTATTGAGAGAAAGCTTCATTTGAATCTTGGTACCAAAAAAAAAAAAAAAAAAGAAAGAAAGAAAAGAAAAGAGAGCTTCAGTTCAATAGACAGAAGGGTTGAGGTGTGGGTTGCCAAAGATTCCATATTTTCTAGGAATGTTTATAGAGTAAAATCATGAGGTAAGAGGGCCTAAATTGGGGAAAACTGGGAAATCATGAGGCAGACAGGCATGAGGTGAGATCAAACTATGGTCAACTAATAAGTTTAGTTGTTTAGGTAAATTTGACCAAATCAGAGACAAATGGGGAAGCAAGTCACATAGCAAGCAAGCATTTTTAGGGATCAGTAACTCTTTCCATAGGAATAGGGATAGTGACTTCTGTCTTCTCCAGGTGATTCAAACCTAATCCCTAATGTTTATACTTTGGATATGGTTGCATTTGTTTTGTCTTCTGTCTTGCAATCTGGACCAAAGCAAGACGTATATATCTCCTCCAAGATCATAAGACATTTGGTCCTCTGTGCTGGCTTCCTTGAGGGCCTAGCCCTGTCTCACTGCCTGTAATATTTCTAATTAGATCAACTGCTTGTAAACATAATGATACAAATAATGTGCTTAGGTCACCAAAACCATATGGAAAGAGTGGGTGTGGGGGAGGCTGTAAACCAGGCATGGTAGTTTATGCCTGTAAACTCAGCCTCTGGAAGGCTGAAGCAAGAGAGTCAAATTCAAGTCATTTTGAAGGTTATACAAAACATCTAAACTACAGGCCCAGTCTAAATTACAAGATCAAAACAATAGTCAAACACAGATTGAGGTCCTGGCTGGGCCCTGCCCAGCAACCTCCAGGGAGCCAGAGCTGTACAGGCAAGCTGAAGCCTGCCACAGCAATCCCTACCTAGCTGCACAGCTGCAGGTCTTTACTGAGAATCTAGTAGGCCCCTGGCAGCATCCCCAACAGTCTGGAATCTTTGGATCATCACTGGGCTATCTTCCAGATAGCCAGGAGCCGCTGTTCAGAGACACCAAGAAGCCAGAGAATTTTGGTGTGCCACATGGTGTAAGTTGAAAGCCTGCCCAGTGTACTTCACATAGCATTCAGCCTTACTACACCACTCAGAACCTGGTAGGGCCCTGCCCAGTGACCTCTAGCAGCCTAGGAGCTTCAGTGAGCAACAGAGGGGATACTAAAGGTCCACCCAGTGCATAACCTCCATCTGGGGAGCCTTTCACTGCTAATAGGGACCCAGGGAATACAAGAAAATGACAAAATGAATTTCAACCTGTAGGCCATCCCAAATAAGCCTAGGAATATGGACATAGAAGAAAAGTGTAACCCATACACTTGAAACTTCTGAAATGATAGCAACTGAAGGAAGCAATTCCATAAAGCTGTGAAGGAACTCAGATTAGAAATAACCTCCCAGGTAAAAGAAGAAGTGATAAACATAATAAAAGAAATGCTTAACACATGTAAAGAACACATAAGTAAAAAATTAAGGAGCACTGCAGAAAGTTGCAAACCTTGCATGAACAATGTAAGAAAGAGAATGCATGAAACAGGTTCAAGAAGATTCTAGGAAATCAAAAATTCTATCAAACTTTGATAAAACCACTTAAATGAATGTGAAGATGGACTTTTAGATCTAGAAGATAAGACTGCAGCTAGTGAACAAAAAATGAAGTATCTTTTTAAAATAACAAGGAATCAGGAAATAACAGTTCAACAGTTGCAAGATGATGCAATGGAAAATAATATAAGATTGATAGGTATAAAAGAAAAAGAAAGTGACAAAACCAAGAATAAAAAACAATACTTCAAGCAACAGAAACCCAAAAACACTAGGGTAGCTGTATTGTTTCCAGACAATGTGAACATGAGGAGCATCCAGCTATGTAAAACAAATATTAATAGAAATTTAGAATCAAATAAGCAATAACACAAATATTATGGGAGACCTTAACACCACTGACACAGAGACAGATGAACTAGACAGAAAGTCAGCAAAGAAACAATAGGATTGAATCAAAAACTTGTGAACAAATGGGCTTAAACGTGTGAACAAAAACGTATGAACAAAGTACTGTACAAAGTGTTCTACCCAGGGGAACTTTCTTTGTCGCCTGGGGACCAGCGTGTGGTTTCTTGCCAGGACCAGTGAGTGGGGCCTAGAAAAGAAATCCTGCCCTCGTCTGGGGAAACTCTCTTCATTGCCTGGGGGTCGGCCTGCGGTTTCCTGCCAGGACCAGCGAATCAGGGAGGCACGGAATTCTGCCCCAGTCTAGGGGAACTTTCTTTGTCCCCTGGGGTCCAGCGCACAGTTTCCTGCCGGGACCAGGGAGTGGGGCCTAGGCAAGGAACCCTGCCCCAGGAATCCCGCCCCGGTCTGGGGGAAATCTCTTCGTTGCCTGGGGATCTGCCTGCGGTTTCCTGCTGGGACCAGAGAGTCGGGTAGGCAGGGAATCCGGCCCTAGACTAGGGGAGCTTTCTTTGTCACCTGGGGACCAGCCTGTGGTTTCTTGCTGGGGCCAGCTAGTGGGGTCTAACCAAGGAATCCTGCCCCAGTCTAGGGGAACTCTCTTTGTCGCCTGGGGACCAGTGCACGGTTTCCTGCTGGGCCCAGCCAGTCGGGTTTAGGCACGAAATCAAGTCCCAGTCTTGAGGAACACTCTTCCTCGCCTGAGGGGCCAAGCCGTGGTTTCCTGTGGGCCCAGGCTGTGGGGCCTAGACGCGGTCTGGGGGAGCTCTCTCCCTCACTTTGAACAACACTTGAAGCTCGAAAATATAGGAAAATGACAAAACGAAAGACCAAAATGCAGCATCAAACATCCAGCCCATCCCAAGAAAGCTAGGAACCACATGCATAGAAGAAAACACATTCCACACACCTGAAATACCTTAAATAATAGTAACTGAAATAAAGAAGCAACTTTGGAAATAAAGAAACCTTAAAGGAATTCAAACTAGAAATAATCTCTCAGGTAAAAGAAGAAATGATAAAAGAAATGAAGGAGATGCTGAACATATCTAAAGAAGACACAGTTAAAAAATTGGAGGACCTAAACTAAAAGATAGAATCCCTGGATGAACAATATAAGAAACAAACAGAATACATAAAACAGATGCAAAGAGATATACAGGAAATCAAAAACTCCATTGAAAGTTGTAAAAACCACCTCAATGAATGTGAAGATAGAATCTCAGACCTCGAAGACAAGATTGCAGCTAGCAAACAGGAAAGGAAGGATCTTTTAAAAATAAGAAATCAGGAAATAACAATTCAACACTTGCAAGATGATGCAAAAAGGAACAACATAAGGTTAATAGGGATAAATGAAAATGAAGGGGACAACATAAAGGATGTCAAGAGGATATTTAGAGAATAGCTGAAAATTTCCCAAACATGAGATTAGAAA